GTCACTCAAATTTACATCTATATTTTCGTTTTTCAAAAATAATGATTCAACCCGATCGGACTTGTACTCTAGAAGATATAGGGCTTTGAAATATGCGCCTTTAATGTGGCGTAACTTACTTATGACGCCATCGTGCTGACGCCAGAGAATCGTTGGGGACCATCCAATGTGTGTAGGGCTGGCCCACTACGTCTGAAGTCGATCGGAAACAGAAGTGCCAAAGTGTATTAGTGAAACAAAAACGTGTACAAATCCAATGGAGAGAACACCACCTTTAACGTGATGTAACTTGGCACCTCGTCTGTTCTGAACAAAGTTGCATCTATTATAGCATTTATTGTTCATTGATGTTTTAACCGGGCCTTTCATCAATCCAATCTCAAATAATTTCGCCCAGCCCAGGGTATCGCCGAAAAATTGCTTTAAATCTTCAAATGTAAGCCTATACAGGGCGTCCTGAAAAAAAAATGGTGCATGTAAACCCCTCCATTTTTGCTGATTTACAACCAAAATTTTCTGAGGATGTTTTGCACCATCTTCAAGGTAATAGATTTAGCTTGAGAATACCGTTTGTTTAATTGAGATTGTATTGCTTTTGTAAATCCAAAGATATGATTGAATAACGGCAAAACCAAGAAACCCATTCTGTGCCACTTTATGTGAAGCAGTTAAAATCAGTATAGTCCTAGTCTAAAACCAAATCACAATACTGTTAGTGATTTTAACATTTTTAAGCAGAGTGTGCAATATTTATTTATATTTAATTGAATTCTTTTGTTGAAGTTTTAAAGAAGTGATGAACCTGTCTGTACTTTTAAATTGTTTCAACATAAGAACAAAATCCTGTTGTCGTGCGAATGGAATGTTTGTCTTTAACACCCATAGGGGTAATCTTATCAAAATAGCCATAAATTGGCATTGTCTGATAGCACTCGCTTCCTAAAAGTGGCACAGAATGTTTTTTATTTAATTTTTGGCTTTGCGGTATAATACATATCAAACATAATATCTGGTACGAGCGAAAACGGCCCCTGGCTTGCACAACCTCGTACTTTAATTACAAACTGCTTAGCGTCAGCAGAGTACAAGTACTCATAATTATGACTTATTATTCATTATGACATATCTTATAGTCCAGCGGATATGTGAACAAAATTGTGCACTTTTGCATAAAAGCATGAAACTTGGCACAGATGTTTATTTTCACGCGAAAAAATGTTTTAGATGTAGAGCCATCGCAAATTTACCTTTTTAGGGGCGTGGCATCCATTTAAAAAAAGGGGGTGGGACTTGTCGTGCCCGCAGTGAAAACGGTTGTTCCCACTTGTCACCAAAGCAGGAAACTTCACAAAGACATAATTGTATAGATTATAAGTGTTTTCCAGATTTTGAGCCACCGCAAAAGTACCTTTTTGGTGGCGTGGCAGCCATTTTAAAATAAGGGGGGGGGGGGTAATTATTATGCCCACCGTGGTAAAAATTGTGCCCATATTTCATGATCGAATAAAACGTCCCACAGACGTTTATGTTCATGAGAAAAAAAGTCCAGATGTGGAGCCGTCTCGAACACACCCTATTAGGGGCGTGGCAACCATATTAGGAAAGGGGGCGGGGTTTTCATTATGCCTACCATGGAAATATTGTTCCCACATTCACAGAGAAATAGAACTTTCCACAGACAATGACATTCATGAGAAAACAAATTCAAGATGTGAACACAGCCATCGTGAACACACCCTTTTAGGGGCGTGGCAGCCATATTGAAAAAAGGGGCGTGGCTCTCATTATGCCTACCACCGGGAAAATGTGCCCACATCTCATAAACGAATGAAGCTAATTCCAACTGACATTTATATTCACGAGAAAAAAATCAGACGTGGAGCCATTGCAAACACACCCTTTTAAGGGCGTGGCAGACATAGTAAAATTGGGGGGGGGGGTAGTCATGATGCCCCTATAAAAAGAAGTTGTGCCTACCTTTCATAAACGGATTAAACTCCACACGGACAATATATTCATGAAAATCTTTCTTTTTCCGAACATGAAGCCATCACAAACCTACCCTTTTAGAGGCGCGACATCCATTTTCAAAATGGGGGGGGGGGGGGTTACTCAATACGCCCGCCGTTGAAAATTTTGATCGCTTTTCATATGACAAAATCCACCTCAGATAGGTCTTCTAATGTGTTGGAGTAGGGCCGCCTTATAGTTGGAAGTGACTGTTGGCAAGCCCTTTTTTTCTTACACTATGCATTCTTGCCTCATCTATATTAACCCAGTTACTGGTTCTGTCGTCTGTAGAATTATTGTTAACCTCTGAACTGCAGCAATTTCTGAATTGGGGTATAAACTGGGGTACCTCAATTAGTCTTGGAAAGACTAGTGTTACTTCTTCAAATACATCGTGTTTCCCATGCCTTTTTCTGTGACAGACCCAAAGGCATATGCAGACCTGTATAAAGTATAAAATGTTGTCATTGCTACTGATATTTGTAATGGATTTGGTTGGGGTAAAAAAAAATACACTCATCAGAGCTTGGTATACCATTTCTAAGAAAACGGAAGGGTTGTATATATGGTGGGGGTACACCGATTCATTGAATGTGAAGTCATAGTGGACGTGACCACGAAGATCACAAAGAATCACAAAGAAATACTCTGGATACTCTGATTAGAAACAATATCGCGGTCCAGCCGGGCGCGAATTTTTTTCCCAAACGACATCCGCATTTACATGTACATGTGCATGTACATGGTGGTTGTATGAGCGCCCTGTACGATACTTAAACGATACGCACGCAGGTATTACCATTAATTTCCGGAATTTGTCGAGCAGTGCAATTAGTCAGGCAGCCTAGTGAATGGATGTGGACATTCCGGACAAAAGCGCCACATTTTCCATACATGCTCCTCAATGCCTTAGCTTTCAATTTTTGACAGGAACCAACTTATCCAATGACATTATGGTGGCCATCTTGGATTTTAAAGATGGCGGCCATTAAAAACCAATATCTACCAATATCTCATATTCTAAGCCACTTAGGATTAAAGTTTTGGTGTCTAAACATACCTTTTCAGAGTCAATGAATGCAACTGTACCATTTAGGATAGTGTCAAATGGTCAGTTTGTCCAAATACAGAATTGTGGCCATCTTGTATCATGGCCGCCATTCAAAATCTAAATCTCCGAATATGTGTATTACATCTTTAAGCCACTAAGGATCTAAATGTTGGTGTCTAAACATATGTTTTCAGGGTCATGGAACGCAACTAAACAATTTGGATTAGTACTACATTTATTTTGGATTGTGTCAAATGGTCAGTTTGTCCAGATACTTAATACGGCGGCCATATGGTTTGCCGTAAAAGTACCAACACTGGCCCGATTCAGGCTATAATGTACCTTTTTGCCATTATGGTTGGACTTGAAAGGGCCGGCACCGGTACCATTCAGGTTGTGTACCGTCTTGCCATTATGGTTTCCCATAAAGGGATCAACACTGGCCCGATTCATGCCTTTTACCGTCTTTCATCATCATGGTTTATCGTAAGAGGACCTGCAATGGCCCGGTTAAGGCTGTGCGCCGTCTTGCTGTTATTTTTTGCCTTAAAAAGACTAGCACTTGTCCGATGCAGACTCTGAACAGTGTTACCATTACCGTTTGCCAATTAATAGGGCGAGCACTGGACCGATTCCGACTCTGTGGTGTCTGTACCGTCAACACACGGAACCGTTTTGGCGCAATCAAGCTAGCATTAGTCCGCTTCTGGTCTTGTACCGTTTAAACTGTATGGTACTGCCACAACAAACCCGTAATTAGCCGGTATCGGCCCAATACCGTCCTGTTTACTGGGTCAATGCCATCTTTGAACCTAGGCAGGTAGAAATCTCTGGCACTCCACGATGTGATACAGCTCTGCCTCTCCACAACTACATGCAGCTGAACCACTTTTGTAGCTCCATTTGATAAAGGCGGGTCTGTGATCAGCTAGTCCTGGTTCTCAAGTGGCTGATAGTTTTCCATTGAACCCATGTCGATGTAGCACCTGTTGAGAGGTTTTCCGACGTTGTTATGGTACAACCATGACAACCGGTGGGCGTTTGCTCCCAGTCGTTGCTTCCAGTGTTGGAGTCTTGCCACTTCCCTAGCTGTTGTGAAGGAGCGGACATGGCTGAGGAAGCTTTTCTTGACTTCAGCCTTTTGTGCCGAAGCTTGCCATCCCTGGAGGAGGCGAAACTCGTCATTTATCAATATTCGGACATCTTAGCTCGGCTGGCAACTTCCCTTTGGAAAACCGAAGAGGAAATGCCAGCAAGGAGGTGCAAATTACTTGTGTTCGTGGGTTTCAAGCATCCAGTGATCAAACTGCATGTTATTTAAGGCTGGGTCAGGTTTCATGATATGGGCTGATCTCTCCCAGACGGAGCACGCATACTCTGCTGAAGAATGGCACTGAGCCAAAACGGTTCATCTTAGGGTGTGTGGTTTGGCTCCCCTTTCGGAGGTTGCACACTCTCGGAAAAAATGGTCTGGATAACATTGTTAACTTATTTTTTATGATGGGACTGCGGTTTGGCCGAAGTCAATTGAGCGTGATCGGCTGACTGATAAGGTTTACGTACAAAACCCCGAGCCAACGAGGTTTTTGTATAGAAAGCTGCCGGACCACATTTTGCGAGAGTGTGTCCGTAATGTTGCAATATCACAAAATGTAATGGGGCACGTGTTGAAAGTGGCCATCGGATTGAGGTGTTCACCAAAAGATTTCACACCATGGACCAAAATGTTAAGAAAACAACAATTAGCAATAACCTTTAATTTATTTGGTAGATGCCCCTTTAAGTTAGCAAAATACAGTCTCCTAGCTGAGCAAATTGATTAAATTGCGCCCTCCATTGTAAGTCTGATCACAGAAGCTAAACACTACCTTCACTGGTATGATGTCCCAACATGTACTGTTATATGATAATTCGTTGGTGGTCAGACCAGACACTGACGTGACCCACATAAATATACACCGCGGGAGTAGACTGACCTTGAGAAAGTGGGTTGGGAAGTTTTGTTTTCGAGGTGAACTGTCTGTACGGCAGTACGGAATGTGGTGACTGACGGGTTGACGGATTCTTGCAGTTGTACTGTGTAAGGGAATTCCTACATTGTCAGAATGCCTGGAATTGACTTTCTCCGGCTTCAAGATGCAAAAGAAAATTCGCCACAGGTTCGTTCGATAAAATATAACTTGCTTGGCATGGGCATGGCAGTCAAGAGTCAATCTAGTCATACATGTCATACTGGACTGCCTCCGTCATGTCCGTAAACATAGGCCACACAGCCGCCATCTTTGAACCTACTCGGCGAAGTTTTCAAAGTGATTTCCACATTGCGACTTCAGACCCGGCACAATTGCAGAATACCCCGCCACACGATCTATCCACCTCGTAGCCGGCTACGAGGTCACGGTTGGTTGACCTCAATAAACATTCTCAGCGCTACTTGTAAAGTTGTATGTACTATCTGACTAACCCTCAATAAACATTCTCAGCGCTACTTGTATGTATTATCTGACTATGCGTCATGCTCCATTGCACTCCCACTTCGTAACCGCGTAGCCGCCAACAGGGTAGTTGGTTTGGACTTTGATTTTTTTTCAGCAACTCCCATTCCTTTTGTGTTGCTTCGTTCTCAAGCATATTCAAGGGTAGCCCGACTGCGTCTGGCCGTACAGTACTATCGCAAACTCTGTAGTACGGCCAGACGCCCGATGCTTCCACAGAGACTGAATTTTGTTGGTCGCCGATGTAGCGATTTTGCTACATCTTTCGATCGCGATTATCTTTTCATCTAGGACACAAATTTCCAAAGTTAAGGTTCGTAGTCGTAGAGCAACTCATACCTTTTCGAAAAAACGTTGTTTGGTCTCAATATTTTCATCCATCTGGCCACAAGACGGATTTCAGTCATCAGATTCCACAAATATCGTCCCCCATGCGATCCCCCATGCGATTTCAAAATGGCGGCCGCGCTGTAATGTATGCAATATGCAGGCACGCCCGCGCAAACTCATGAATATGCATAAACAGTCTGTGACGTATGACCTCGTGTTTTTGGACGTGCGTGCGGCGGGGCCGTACTTCCAAAAACACAAGGTCATACGTCACAGACTGTTTATGCTTATTCATGAGTTTGCGCGGGCGCGCCTGCATATTGCATACATTACAGCGCGGCCGCCATTTTGAAATCGCATGGGGGATCGCATGGGGGACAATATTTGTGGAATCTGATGACTGAAATCCGTCTTGTGGCCAGATGGATGAAAATATTGAGACCAAACAACGCTTTTTTCGAAAAGGTATGAGTTGCTCTACGACTACGAACCTTAACTTTGGAAATTTGTGTCCTGGATGAAAAGATAATCGCGATCGAAAGATGTAGCAAAATTGCTACATCGGCGGCCAACAAAATTCAGTCTCTGTGGAAGCATCGGGCGTCTGGCCGTACTACAGAGTTTGCGATAGTGCTGTACGGAAAGACGCAGTCGGGCTAATTCAAGGGGAGTCCCACTCCGTAGCCTCGTACAAGAGTCGTAGCCGCCAACAGGGTGGTTGGTTTGGACTTTGAATTTTTTCAGCAACTCCCATTCATTTTGTGTTGCTTTGTTCTCAAACAATGGACCCCCACTCAGGGGTGCGTTTTGGCGGTCATAACCAAGAATTGGTTCGGTGGTTTCTGTTTGGTTAATTGTTTTGGGGATTTGAGTACTACATGATCATGCGTAATTCTAGCCCAATTAAAATTGCTGAAGATATTCACCGACAAGAAACTACCGAACCAATTCTTGGTTATGACCGCCAAAACGCACCCCATCCGCGTAGGCTAGCTGGCAATGGACTTGAATTGTTTCTTTTCCAGTGATTCCAACCTCGTAGCCAGTGATTTTAGGGGTGTATTTCCGAGTGGCGGGGTATTCTGCAATTACTCCTCAGACCCAGTTCATTTATGCTTTAAAAATAGGTAGTGGATATTTTGCTGGAGGTAATGACGGCAAACTACCGATTACTAAAGGTTTGCCGGCGGCAATCCATATCAACAGAGGGCGCTGTACTCTTTAAAATAGGGCTGAATTTAGCTGGAGTTACCCAGCCCTGAGTTTTATCATTGGGTTGTCATCTAGGGCTGGAGCGAGTTTTTCTCGTAACTTGTAGTATAGGCAAAAATGTTTGGAAAATGTTCAATTTTGTCCCCGTTACTCACTAATTGCAACTGCAACTCACCCCAAACTTGCCTGGAATAACCATTACACAGGTCCTTGAAGTAAAAAAACGATCCACGATGAAGATTCAGCCTACAATTGCAGTGAAAAAAGGAGGAATAACCGCTAACCTGACAACCTTTCAGGCATGGCCAGGACCGCAATTGGTTTGTGCACAAAAAAAATTGTGTACAATGAATGGCGGTCGATTAACAGGCACAGAGAGCGATCGCTGTCAACTACTCGTTTTTGCCGGCTGCGCTGGCTGTTGGCGCATGACGTCACGCGGAAGCGTAACACCCGCTGACTGTTTCATGCACTATTGGTTGCGGTTCCAGTACCAAAGCTGTGATGCGAGTGGTAAACCTTATATTAGTGCATGAAATAGTCATCGGGTGTTACGCTTCCGCGTGACGTTGTCACGCTCCAACTATCGCATCGGTCCCAACTATAGTTGGGCCTGTCCCAACTGTAAGTTCCACTGTCAACTACTCGTTTTTGCCGGCTGCGCTGGCTGTTGGCGCATGACGTTGTCACGCCCCAACTATCGCATCGGTCCCAACTATAGTTGGGACTGTCCCAACTATAGTGCGGCAGTTGGGTCGGCCCAACTATAGTTAGGACTGGAGTTGCGCCGGATGCTTCATGCTTGATAGATCTTGTTGGATTAAATCTTCCGCGGCGCTGGCACCGTGTATTCGTCGTGCATGCATGCCGCAATGCTGGCCGGTCACGTGGTACTGCCTAGTTGGATGAGTTGTCCAGCTGCTGGGTTTTATTGTCCAGCAACATTTTGCAAAATTCAAAGATTGCCATGGCCGGCCAACTATAGATGGGCCCCACCCATAGCTAATGTCAAAGGTCCCAAGTAAAGTCGGACAGTATGTAACAGAGCTAGCTGTAGGGAATGTTTTATAGTCGTACATCAATGTAAACTATATAGTTGGGACCGCCAAATAAAAATATTGCGGTGGCCCAACTACAGATGGTCCCCACCCATAGATAATTTCATTGGTCCCAAGTAAAGTCAGATGTGTATTAGAGTTGTAGGGAATGTTTTATAATCGTACAACAATGTACATTATAGTTGGGACCGCAAAATAAAAAGATTGGAGTGGCCCAACTATAGATTCGCCCCATCAGTAACTAATTTCAGTGGTCCCCAGTAAAGTCAGACGTGTATCAGAGCTGTAGGGAACGTTTTACAGTTGTACATCAATGTAAACTATAGTTGGGACACCGCAAAATAAAAAGATCGGAGTGGCCCAACTATAGATGGGCCAGCCCAACAGTGGAACTTACAGTTGGGACAGGCCCAACTATAGTTGGGCCAGCCCAACTGTGGAACTACAGTTGGGACAGGCCCAACTATAGTTGGGACAGGCCCAACTATAGTTGGGACCGATGCGATAGTTGGAGCGTGACAACGTCACGCGGAAGCGTAACACCCGACGACTGTTTCATGCACTAATATAAGGTTTACCACTCGCATCACAGCTTTGGTACTGGAACCGCAACCAATAGTGCATGAAACAGTCATCGGGTGTTACGCTTCCGCGTGACGTCATGCGCCAACAGCCAGCGCAGCCGGCAAAAACGAGTAGTTGACAGCGATTGCTCTCTGTGCCTGTTAATCGACCGCCATTCATTGTACACAATTTTTTTGTGCACAAACCAATTGCGGTCCTGGCCATGCCTGAAAGGTTGTCAGGTTAGCGGTTATTCCTCCTTTTTTCACTGCAATTGTAGGCTGAATCTTCATCGTGGATCGTTTTTTACTTCAAGGACCTGTGTAATGGTTATTCCAGGCAAGTTTGGGGTGAGTTGCAGTTGCAATTAGTGTGTAACGGGGACAAAATTGAACATTTTCCAAATTTTTTTGCCTATACTACAAGTTACGAGAAAAACTCGCTCCAGCCCTAGATGACAACCCAATGATAAAACTCAGGGCTGGGTAACTCCAGCTAGGCTGAATTATAAGATGTATTAAATTCCCACCAAAAGTTGTGTAGCACGTTTGGTGTAATGGTTAAGCAAAGGCTCTAGTAAGCGGGATGACTCGCATTCGATTCCGACTGCACCACATTTTTAATTTTTTTTTTCTCATCCCCAAATAAATAAGAATATTCTTCTTTTATTATTTTAACATGTCTCAAACATTTTTTGCAGAGTATTACATTTTCTTTTTCAGATTTGTGGCTCTGGAGGATTTTTTTTAAAAGGGAAATAAAGTCCGAAATTATAAAATGGTCTGAATCCCATCTTGTGAATACGAGGTAACAACGATAATTTTGGCATGGAGCCAGACTAAAACTTTTCACCGGAAAATGTTTAAGTACAAAAAAACAGTAACTGCGCATGTTCAGTGCATATCCGGCAAATTAACGTTTACTAAAGGTTTGCCGTCTCCGGCAAAATATACACTGCCTTAAAAATACACTCACCCTCTTAATAACAAAATTTGAACCTGCTTCCAGTGTCAGTTGCCCAGCTGCTGCGTAATTTACGATATTTTCTGGAGCCTTCTTGGCAACTTGTCGGTCCAACTGAACAATGGGATACGAACCAATATGCAGGGATCGTTCACCTGTCAATCATGCGTGCACGAGGCACGCCGTAGTCTCAGACCAAAAGATTCTGACTATTCCTGATGAATCAATATAGACGTGAGCGTCGGGAATAATTGTCAGGTCTGTGAACCAGACTATCACCGGGCCTGCGGGGCGCGCATGCCTCGTGTGTGCATGATTGACAGCTCCACGAATTCAAGTGACATTTATTGGTTTAATAGTTTACATTGAGTGATGGAGATACTTCATAATAATTTTCCAAATTTAGGCTCTTTTTATTTTGACTTTTACGACATCAAAAGTACCGATGTCACTTTTCTTTTCCTAGTTCCGGATCGGTTCAATCAGTTCCAAATCGATCAAAACTTGCTTCGCGCCAAAAAAGAATCACGCGAGAAAATCACTTTTTTTTCAGCCAGAACTTACCGAGCAAGCATATTTTCTGATAAAGTATTATTTCATTTTCCTAAAATAGTTCATTCAAGAGAATTCCACCAAATTTAAAAAGGAGAAAAACGTAAATGATTTTGAAACGTTTGTCTGCAGTGCAATGGCATGACGGACCGAAAACATTTGACACAGCACATAGAATACGTCACACAAAATCCATTAATGCGCATGTAGTTGGGTCGTAAGGCATGTAAGGGACGAATAAGTACATGCGCTATCTGGAACTAGTCAAATGCATACGGTCATTTGTTGGCAAATTTTCAAAAATTAGAGACTCTACAACTTATCTTGAGATTTTATTGAAAAGATCTTCATGTATCAAGAAGCTTACATTTTCCTTTTCAAAATGCACTTCGTCAGAAAAAAAAACATTGGAGACTAATCCAAAAAAGGTAGGTTTTATTTGAAGCTATCCGGACCTACCAAAAATCCGGAACTAGGAAAACGACTGTACGGAGTAACTTGGACCCAACTTATCGCCTTTTTAACATTCGGACATGGTCTGGCGATAGTGTAGACCCGTGAACGTGACGTAGTTTACAAGCCACGTTGTACAATTTTGTGCAATTTCGAACCAAGCGAAATTGGTTCAAAACAAAAACTGAACATTGCTCATGATTGGTCAATCTGACACCACCCATCATATTCGCCACATGAAGCAGACGGGTAGCTCGGAGGGCTCCAATAATTTGGCACGCAAGTGACCCTGGGTACTTGTCCAGTTAACGTTAAAATCTAATTTCTACACGTTCGTATGGGTCTTCATTGACGGCAAATTTCATCGAAATGACACATCCTGAACACGCGGGAAGGCAAATTTGGATTTCTAGGCGAGTACTAAACATCCATACGAAATTATGCATGGCGGATCAATTTTGCCAGGTTCGAAATGACACAACAGCGTGGTGTTGTATACAATGCCACGTTCACGGGTCTGGCGATAGTCATGATAGTGGGGTCCAAGCTAATCAGTATATACATGTATGCCGAGCAACACAATTCTGTCATTGACCCAAAAACCCAACATTGCCCAACAAAAACATCAGATTTCGCCTTCAAAACAGCCTCCAAATTACTAGACGCGCCACCTGAGGTACAAGTAGACATCAATAATTAAGATGGTTGTACTGAAGTATACAATATTTCACCAGCTGCGTTGACGGGATTCTAACGTGTTTCTACCGTGATAGGTCCAGGCGCGGTTCTAGAACCAATATTTTGGGGGGGCTAGCACGGTGGATCCAGAATTTTTTCAGGGAGGCGTGCTGAAATGTTGACCGGTTATTTTTTCCAGACACATAGGCCTCCGAAAATCAATAGGTGGAGGGGGGGGGGGGGGGGGGGGGGGGGGGGGGGGGGGGGGGGGCTCATGCCATATTTTCAATGGGGAGCGCCAATAAAATCCTAAAATCATTCACACCATATTAACTAATGCACCCTTGTCACGGCTATTTCTTCTTTTAAGGGGGAAACCGTTCGCATGTACATCACAATCCTTCCTTTTGCTAATGCAATTTTTTTTTTTTACGGAATTTATTTTTTGGGGGCTAGACAAAATTTTGGGGGGGCTACAGCCCCCCCTAGCCCCCCCGTAGAACCGCGCCTGGATAGGTCAATTACTAATGTCACCCATGAACGTGGCTTGTAAACTACGCCATGCTCTGGCTGGTATCATTTCAAACCTTGCAAAATCGTCCCTTCATGACACAAACTGAACATTATTTTACCGTGTGATGAGCACTCGTTATGCATCGTTGCATTTGAACGAAATTTGACGTAAAATCTGGCCTAGTCCGAGTAACTTGGACCCAACTTATCACCTTTTTAACATTCGGACATGGTCTGGCGATAGTAAGGTCCAAGCTAAACCACATCAGTCGGTCGACACAGTTTTGTCTTTGACCCAAAACCCAACATTGCCCAACAAAAACATCAGATTTCACTCTCAAAATGGCCTACAAATTACTAGATATGCCACCTGAGGTACAAGTAGGCATCGATGAGTAGGATAGTTGTTCTGAAGTTTACTTACAATTCGGATAAAAAGTGAAATTTCCCGTTCAATTCCGAGAGTTTCCCTCGCGATCGTGAGTGCTCGTTAAATTTCCAAGGAATTCCTAAGCAAAAACGGAAAGATTCCCATATCTGGCCATCACTTGTCACCCTGTGCCAGGGCTCGATTTACAAAAAAAAATTGGCATGCACTGGTGCATGATGTAGACCAAAAAACCTACATGCACCAAGAAAAACCCACATGCACCATAATTGACTTACACCCGTCTGCTTCTCTGAAGGCATTCTTTCTCTTTGATTTATCGAACTTTCAATACATAGCCTTTTTTACTCGATCATGCTCAAGGCAAGCCTAGACCCGTGAACGTGGCGTTGTATACAACGCCACGCTGTTGTGGCATTTCGAACATGGCGAAATTGATCCGCCATACATAATTTCGTACATATGTTGAGTACTCACATAGAAAGCTAAATTTGCCTTCCCGCGTGTTCAGGATGTGTCATTTCGACGAAATTTGCCGTCGATGAAGCAAAATTGTGCCGCAGCAGGATTCCAGTCAAACCAGTGAGTTTGGCGGTTTTGAGACATCATCTTTCATTGAAAAAAAAACCTTTTCACTTTGCCGACGCGCATGGCTACGGCGACGCGCGCGCATACCAGAAACCGGAGACTTTTTTTTTTTGCATAACGTGTTGAGTAAATCTGCTAGTGTGGCCTTTATTTACAGAGGTAGTCCACTAAATAGGCCACATTTATGGGGCTACACTACGGTTTAAAAGTTAAATCTTAAGTGACCCCTCAAAAATGGCCTCCCCAAATTGTTCTTTTTTCACCTCTATTATCCCATCCCAGATCCCATAACATATCTCATACCATTCAGCAGTCATTCATGAAGCTACTGATCAACTTGAAATAGACCAAAAACAACTAAAATATGAAAATTGTTGATGATTTCTGGGGCTTGTCCATAAAAAACGTCCAGTTTCAATGGCTGTCGTCCATTTTGTGTGGTTAATTATGCAAATGCATGCATCACCTGATGACAATGGAACAATCTGTGTGCGTGATGTATGTGGGTACCGCACCGCTTTCAGGCGCCGCTAGTGGGTTCAATTTTTGTCTGGTGCGTTGTCGTGGAAAGGTTACTGCTTTCCACAACAACGCACCAGATGGAAATTGAACCCACTATGCAATGTGCTGGCTTAAGAACAGAAAAAATGCGGGACCGGTTCACAGTACAGCTATTTAAACACTTTGAAAATAATTTAGATTCATTGACTCTTTTCCTGACATTTCTGACATTCCTGAGCATAGTCATGGTGCTACCTTTGAATACCAAGCATGGAACACTCAAGTTGGGACAGTCCTAGCTTAAGTTGGGACCATGGTCTAAACATCACTAAGGTGTTTAAATGAGTCCACTAAAGAAGGGTGGTGTTCTCGTTATATAGGAACGGGGCCCATTACTTCACAAAATCGACAAAATTATAAACAAAATGTTATTTTAAATTGCCTCTTTGTTAAAATGTTTGGACCGTGTGAGTGCACGAGGACTGGTCACCATCATTTTTTGTTTTTTGGAAGTGTAATATTTTTGGTTGTATCAATTTTTTTTTTCTTTTCAATATTTAGGCAAGGTCCATGCTTGGACTTTTTGAAGAAGACACCAGCCTTTTTACTGGTTATGTGAATGGTTTGCTGGCTGCTTGCAGGAGGGTTGTAGACTGTGAGGTAATGTAGCAAATCTCCCAACCACTTAGTCTTCAAATTTCAGCTTTCTTACTTACTAGTAAGTTGCGTTGAAGAAAATAAGTAGGAAGAAAATAACTTATGTTTATAAGTGTAGTGAAAAGGATTACGTACATGTACATCTTTTTGGAAAACAGTACAAGACATTTGATAGAAACTGTAATTTAAGATCTTAAAGGTATAGTCTATCATTTGTAATTTGTGCATTTTGTTCGTTTGAAGTCAACAAAAGTGCTCAAAATCTAAAGAAGGGTGCTGGACAATTAACCTGATGAAGTTTCAGCTCAGCTTCAGCTTGTACTCCAAGAAAAACAACATTCTAGGATTTCAATTTCAAATCAAAAGTTGCTGAATCATGTTTTGAATTGGGCCTGAATTCAGCATCCGAGACACATTCTCACTGAGCTGATTGCAGCTACGCGATGTCGCGCACTAATCCGACGAATTATAGCAACCGCGCACGTGTGTGTCGTGCCAATGCTTGCGCACGCTTTGCTGAATAAAAAAAAAAACTACTCACGGAAATTTCCAACAGTGCGTCTTAAGACACACCGTTGGAAAGGCCTTCTTTCGTTGATTACTTCAAAATGACAGCCTGCCAGAAAGAATAATTTCACAGGGAGTTTAGTCCCCTTACTATCTTTCAACCAAGTATGTTTCCAACAATAATTACGTCAGTTACTTTTTGGATAGCTGCAAATGATGGACTATAGCTTTAACCCTAACTCCCTGGCATCTTTTATTAGGAACTGGACCATGTCCATCAAAATCCATCCATCACTGTGCTTCCAATACAAAAGTGTACCGGTACATGACATAACAGAATCCACCACTGACGCACTTGACATCTTGGACTTGCTACACATGGCTTTTATCACAATAGCAGTACAGGAAGCCAGGCAGAATCAATCGGATACCCCTAGCACTACTTCAGGCTATTAGGCCCAAGTCCATCATACTCCATCAATATTTAGTCACATCAGGCCTCCTGGACCAAGTTCCCCAAACTCCACCAAAATCGGGGGGGGGGGGGGGGTGGATTTTGATCTAAATATAAATAATCAGGCAAAAATGTCAAGGCTGATCAGAAGCATATGGTAGAGTAATTAGGAAGGAAACAATACATGTACATGTACATGTAGTTGTTTTAGTTTCATACTTGTTGGTTTTTCCCCAGACTGCGTTATCAGTTGCTATCCAGACACTATCACAGAAGCTTCAAGAATATGAAACATTGGTGAGTACTAGAACATGTAGAAGACACAAATTGAATGATGGTGTTGTGCAGCAAACACTGTGATAAACCACTGGCACAGTCTTTGTACATTAAGCCTTGTCTGAGGTAATGGTGTCCATGCAGCCAATCATTATGAAATCATTCAAAATCACCCAAAGCCAGTACACTGAAAGAAAAGCATCCATGCAATATTTAGAATTGACGGTACAGATTGTATCTAGTTATTTCCTCTTTACTGATTATAAAGTACTTCATTAGATTGCTTGTTTCAAAGACGTTCTTTTTGAAGTTTGGTTACAACTAAACAAAAAGTGGAATGACAAATTGAAGGAAAAGGTCATTCCAGAGAAGGAAAGTTTCTAAGTGGATTTATTGAATATCTAGTGAGTCAGTGAAATTCTTTCCCTTTGCAATTTCCATCATGTTTGTTAAAATTATGAACTCTTAAAATCATGACAGAATTTTCCCCTGGGCAGAGATGACAGTATTCTGGCTTCAACCCTCAAGCAGTTTGCACAGACAATGGAAGAGGTGAGAATTCCTAAATTTATGTCAAAATTCCTGGATTCTTGGAACGATGCAAAGAAATGCAAAGAAATGGTCAGAAATAGACAGATTAGAATTCCTCTCTTTGTTGGCAGTATTAACAATTGGTGATGAAGTATGGATTCTTACATGTAGTAAGCTACACTGACATTTTCTTATATGCAATTGTAGGAAGAATCACCGTTTCTTATTAAATACATGTAAACCCATTCCCCCTTGCCACATCTCTGTGGGTGGCAGAGTTTAGCTTTTCAATAGACTTCAAGACATCATAATCCATGATTGACACAAAGCAATCCCCAGACCTTAGTTCAAAGTTACAGTCTTCTTAGCTTTGTCAGTGGTGCTGCAGTGCTGTTTTGGGGGGTGAAAGAAAGGGTAGAGACTCTAGTCTTACCCAGGGGTAATAGTACCATCCAAACCACTGAGCGTAACTTCTTTTGTGTTTTCAAGGTCAGCTCGGTTTACACAGCTCATTCTACTCAACTGAATGACTTGATGGTTCAGCCATTGTCTTCATTTACCAACGGTGACTTGAGTGAAATCACAAATATGAAAGCACTCCAGCGAATGATAGAACAAGGTACAGTTTTTCCAGTTTTGCAATATTTGTTATCTTAAGACTGTGGTTTTCAACAACATCCAACAGTAGGTAATATTTGTTGGATCCATTAAGATTAGATCAGGAGAGTAAAGACACCTTGTCCTTAGTATATCCGCTCCGTTCACAAGCACCCCCTCATCTTGCCTGACTGCAATTCATTTGCCGCGAAGCGCAGCCACTGCGTGTAAATAGAACAAATTCCCAGGTGTACGTGCGTCACACACAAGGAACGATGCGCGTCAACCAGTGAAATGTCCCGCCCATGGGGCGTCGTCGTTATGTAAAAGGGCGCCCTCTTTTGGTAGCGCACGGAGCTCATTGGTCTATAGTCCTTATTTAGTACCCAGCAAGCCTCATCTTGTTTTTTTTTCCCAACAAGGTGCCTCGTGAATATCTAAAGGTATAATCAGTGGACTTTGCTGCATATTTGGCCAGACACTTGTGCCTATTTGATGCCTTTCTTATTTGTTCTTATTGTAACAGAACACGACAATGCAATAGTCAAGTACTGCCGGGTCTCAAAGAAGAAAGAGAATGAGACAAAAGCAAGAATAGATGCAAATGATGAGTTATACTCGTGCAGGAAGAAACTCTTACAGGTAAACATGTCAAGTTGGTTACCACTTGGAAACATTGTAAACAAATGTAAACAGTTTTTTTGGGGGGGGGGGAGTGATTAACTTTTTTGGTCTGATCTACATGTACACTGCAGATCATATAGTCATTGAAGCTGAGAGGATTTCCTCTGAATATTACAAGTAATAGTTTCATATGATTTCTTTGACAGAATTCCCTAAACTACTACAATTCTCTGAACCTCCTTCAATACAAGCGCACCACCAACCTGCTGCAGCCCATGCTGGGCTTCTTCCAAGCTCAGCTCATGCTCTTCCGTTTGGGCAAGGAGACCCTGACAAGACAGACGGAGGAGTATCTAGGCAACATCACTGAGAGTGTTCAGAGGTATGTCAGTACTTTGTCTACCTGCATTCAAATGTATAATCATGCCAGATTTCTATATTTGCAGTCAAAAGTTTTGTAATGATAAAACAGATGCAATTAATTGAATTTCCATTTGAAATGGATTCAGCTTTTGCAGTAAACCCTACATGCAAATGTTGTGTACTACTGATCAAAAGAAAAAAAAAAGAAAAAAAAAAAAGCAAGATATGTACATGTGCATGACATGTAGTTACAATTCTAAACATTATGTGTGCGTCATGACTAGAGTCTTTGCATGCTTTATGTTCCATTGAAAAAACGTTCACAGAGAGGATAGTTCATTTTTTTTTTTTTTTTTTTTGACGCCAACTAACTTTGAGGCACAAATGATGAAAGAGAAACCTGTTTTGACTGGGTTGATAGGAATTTTAGAATTATCACAGAAAATCTCTGAAATGGGAAATCAATGGCTTCGCTGTTGACATTATGGGCTACTATTGATATAGCAGATTTGCTGTGTAGAGATGTTCCTACATCAGAAACACATTCTTCGTGCATATATTACGTGATTTCATTTTGATTTGAACTTGTTCTCAGCTGATTTGTGATTAGCAAACTGCAAAGCTGATTTTGTTTGAATGGCAACTCCCTGAAAATGTAGCAGTAAACTTCTAGAGTTGGAGCAGTCTGTCTGTCGGTCAGTCAGTCTGTCTGCCCGGCTGTGATGTTATGCATTTCCACATACAGTCATGTAGACAGCTACAAGGATGTAGTTGATACTTTTGTCTAGTTGTTGTTTTTTTGACATCCAAAAAGTACTATGCCGCCCAATAGTTGATATTGTCCCCCACTGCAGCTTGATATTGAATGCTCCATCAGTGTGCTCCAGGTTTTAGTCAGTTTATTTAGAAACACTGCATTTAAGGGTGCGTTCCATTTACCCACTTACGTACACTGCACAAACTTTAGTGGTATGGCACAACGTTACAAGGAAACTGCAAAAGTCATAAAAAGTCACTTAAAAGTAATAACACCTCATCATGTTATTTTTTGGTACCAGTATATACACACGTGTATTTCTCGAACTAACAAATGTTTTCAATTGTTAGATTATAAGTTACATTTTGATCTGAACTACCGGTTATATAGGGGCTCTGTTTATTACTTTTCCAAGCTGTAAAAAATGCAAAATGTTTTTGCTACCTGATATTTCAGTTGTGTTGTTCACATAGATTCAGGTGCATTCTCCCTGTGCCCATGCAATGGGTGTGAACGCAATCAGTTTAGAATTAGTCATGAACACTGCATAACTTGACATGAACCAATGGGCATGCACGAGGGCTGATATGGGGCACAAGGAGCAGGAAGTTTAACAAAAGGTACAATGGGACCTTACAAGTTCGTTCTTAGAGTTTGAGTTTTAAAAGTAAACAAAGGAACAAATGTGTCTAAAAATAGTGGCACCCCATAATTCCCATTGGTCGAGAGTGTGTGTGCCTCACTTGGGTGAGTGTGGTGCATAGCAGTCCTAGCACATACATGTAGCTTATAGAAAAAATATTTCTAAATTTTGTTTGTATATTTCCTTTTTAAGAGTGACTAAAGTAGTGCTGCAGCCAAACTGCCCAAACCAAACCACAATTCAGCGAATACATGTAGCACTTCCGAACCAAACTGAATTGTTCAGTTCGGGTATTTGGAAACACAATTTTTAGCTGCAGAATTTTTTTGGGGGCAATCAAAATAATCAAGACTTGCAGGATAAAATTATAAAATTTACGTCTCATTAGAAGAAAACAATAGTTTAGGCTGACAGTACCGACTTAACATGAAAGGAAATTCATGTATGCATATGTATGTACAACGGCAATGCAGTCTGTGTTCCAGAGCCACTGAGTGGCCATGTGCATGCGCTGCCAGCAATTTGGGAAAATCATGTACATAATCTAACAAGATTGATTGGAAATGTCTCGGAAGCTGCGGGCCAACGAATTTGTCATGTTTGTGTTCATGCATGAGTCATGTGATTGTGCCATGTAATTTTTGAAAGGAGTAGTGTTTTAAGTCCAAAACAAATTTCATTCGTACCCCCTCCCCAGCATCCTGTTTGCAGGGCGGGGGGTACGAGCAAAAAAACAAATCAGGTGTTTGACCCAGTTACCAGTGTTGTAGCCGTCGAGACTGATCTTGGTCTCGAGACCAGTCTCGAGACCAGTTTGAACGTGTTCTTGGTCTCGACCACGCATGGTCTCGGAAAAAACGCTGGTCTTGGTCTTGGTCTCGCACCTACTGTTCTCAGAATTTTGGGCCGAGACCAGCACGAGCTTATTAGAAGAAATTGGAATAGTCTGAAGTGCATTAAAATTGTGTTACAAATGTACAGTGCACACCAAGGATGTGAGATACACGTGTAAAATGAAAATAATTCTAAATCCTTTTTCAAATTTTTCCAAAAAGATTGAATAAAAACCCGAGTTATAAACGAGGGACCTACGTTCACTCGATGTTCCTTTGAGTCAAACATACATAGCACAAATGTTTCCAAACCGTTATTTGATTTACAAAACCTCAGAAGCACCACATGTAGGCCTACTTGATTACATTCAGGTATGTGTAGATAAGTTTTACCTTAACCAGTTGATAAAGACACTGTGATGGTGTCGCAAGCTCCTGATACGAGCTCTGTAACCAAAGACTCAAAAAGGTATCTTTTATTTAATTGATATAATAATGGGACAGGAAACAAACTTTCATGCTCGAAGTTTTACCTTATGTTTTACTTTTTCAATGACTGCCCTCTGTTATGTCAATCATTGTTGATTTATCATGTAAATCATGCTGGTCTGCAGACAAAATGTCAGGCATCCACCTTTATGAAATGGCTTAACATTTAAACGTGTGAAATGTTTAAACAGTTCTTAAAATATTTGCTAAACGTTTACAAAATGAATGCAAAGTCGCATCCTTAGTGTACACATGTACATGTACATGTAGTTGGCACTGACTTTCAAGCTTTGTGCTTTTGTCAATATGCAAGCAAAAATTTCTGAAAGGAATTCCTTTATGTGCACTACCGTATGTACAGCATGTGCTTGTGAGTTGCTGTGCTTGTGAGCCGTTGGGCTCCTTGTTAATTCCACTTTCGAATTTACACCAATATATTTCATATTTGATCCAGTATATTTCGCAAATGTAGCATTCTGATTCATCCTTGTTTCGTGAAATTTGTCTCATGAATGTGAGATTGGCATTGAATTGAAAAAAGCAATTTCCTTTTTTGTTTTTAATTATTCATTTAAATGTTAAAACTGTCATTCAATTTTGTTAGTGGCAAGCTATTTTCACATATGTTTCAACCTCTTTGACTTTTTAAAGAATTTTTTTGAATAGATTTTGCAAAATGATTTCCCCCTCTTGCTTCAAAAAGGTAATCTAACTCTTTTGTTGCACCTTTAAATGTATGTGCAGATGACCATGGAATCAGTGGATCATGCATGACTTGCTTGGGTTTCTAGTTCCTTTGAATAAAGGGCAAACAGAGATACATGTTAACTTCATTTATGGATTTATTTAAACAAAAGGAACATCAAAATCACACTTGAAAAACGAGAAACAAGAAATGTTAAACGAGAAATGTTGTAAATCCATTTACATATTTTCCAAAACGTGTAAACGAAACGTTAAAAAAAGGACCTTTGTTTTACGCCATCTGCCTTCGAATTGTACATGTACATTTATTTCACAACTTATGAATGCTTTTAATCTCATTTACAAAGTATTTGAAGCGCTGCATACTTGATTATATTCCGAATGGTTGAGTATCTATTATTAGGCCAGTCATATACAATGTAAACAGTAAACTGCGTTTGATGTTTCCAATGCCGAAGTGTTCCCCCTACAATATTGTATGGGCTGAGTGTGTCTTGATCTTTTCCACACACAAAAAATACCCATGGGATTCCATTTTCATAGTATTTACCTTTTTTTCATCGAAACTACTATACCAAAGTCTTTGAGAGAAAAAAGTTGTCCTACCGGTCGTACTGAAAAAAACCCTTCCAGTGAGTGATTGGCATCCCATTGTCCAAATTGATACAAGTTATTTTCTGATCATGACAAAGTATCTCTTTCAGATTGGCTTTGAGACTTTGAGATTTATGGAATGTTCTTTGCTTGTGTGAATGAGAATTTTGTTACCGTGAAAGGGCAGCCCATATGTTGAAACGGTTCTTAAAATATTTGCTAAACTTTTACAATATTACACACAAAGTCAAATAATTCCAGGTACATGTATGTCAGAGGGTGTAGTATTAACTCAGTAACAGTGAATGCACAAAAGGTTTAGGCCTATCCAAGCTACAAAACCATTGCCCTTTAACTCCCCCTTAACCCTAACCCCCTAGGCCCTTGTTGCTTACAACCATCCTCAATCCTCCAAAATCCTCCAAAATTTTCCAAAATTTGCAACTCCGCCTAAATTTTTCAAAATTGTCAGACAGTCCTGCCTCAAAATGCATTCATCCTCAATCCTCCAAAATCCTCCTCATCCCAAAACTTTGCACTCGTGTTTAAATGAAGGATAACCAACGCCAAATCCTTCAAAATCATCAGACAGTCCTGCCTCAAAATGCATTCATCCTCAATCCTCCAAAATCCTCTTGTGCTTCAATCACCATTCATCCTCAATCCTCCAAAATCCTCATGTGCTTCAATCACCATTCATCCTCAATCCTCCAGAATCCTCATTTGATTCAATCACCATTCATCCTCAATCCTCTAGAATCCTCCAAAACCGCCAGGAGGATTTTGGAGGAGTGAGGTGGGTTAGGGTTAATAGGTCTATTAGGCCATCAGCCTGGGGGTTGGGTCAGTATCAAATGAGGGTCATTGTGAAAACATTTCCACCGCTCACACTACAAAGCTATCACACACTTTCCAATTCTAGATGTGTATACCTTGCCAAAAGTCGCTATGAACATTACTCGTTTCGTTCATTTGATACCGGTGGCCCAATTTTTGGAGCGAAGCTGATAGCCTTTATGCACAAAGTGAATATGAATGACCAAAGGGTGAAAATGAAATGATAAAAAAACAAACGCTTTTTCAATTGCATGTAAAGGAGACATTTTTGAAATCAGAATGCTGCATTCGTGAAGTTCTCCGGACTAAATATGAAATGTATTGGTGTAATTCAAAATCAGAAAATTTTAAACAATGAAGCCCAATAATGTTCTGGAACGAAATTAAAGTACTTTCCATGGAATTTGAATGATACAAGCGTTAAAGTAACAGGGAATCCTATACCGGTATGTTACACTGCACAAGTGAATTTGTGCATTTTTCGCAACATACAACTTTAGATTGATTTAAAAAAACAAACATTGTAACTACCTAAAATTGTTGGTCTCTTGAGTACTGGACGTCACTTGATTTATGTTTGTCCACTTTATGCACCATTTTGGTAAACTGAATATGACAAATGTAGGTCTACATGTAGGTTATTATTTTCAAATCCAGATTATTGTGAGGAGACCTGCCACAGATTCTGTGAGGTTTGGTAATGAGAGCAAAGTAAGGCATACTGTAGAACATGTGACCAGTGTTCAACTTGTACAAATTATAGCACAGGACATGCAGGACAATGGCACTGGAGTGCCTCATTCAGCAAGCTAGTTAAGTTGTGCTCCAACCACATTGTGTTTCATATCAAAACTTACTTGCTGTGTATACATGTATGTACAAATGAAGGTGAAAAACAAATTGATGAAATTGAAAAATAGGAACTGCTTTAAGAATGGAGAGCTCAATTTAAGTCCAGACTTAACGTCTTTATTCCTGACAGTGTCCATTCGGAGATGGGTCAACTATCTCAGCGATCCAGTGATAAGATGCAAGAGATTACTGAGAACTCCACATATTACTACATGCCTGAACCTACCCCAGACATGCAGATGCAGTCTAGACCAGTCAATACTGGCCTTAGTCAGATAGCTGGATATCTCATGATCAGAAGGTAAGCTGAAATTGTTAGTCAGGCATTCATCTTAGTTGAGTGTCACATCAAAAATAACATCAATGAAATTTGCTTAAACAAATCCCCATCAAGACATGAGTCTTAGAACTACAGTAGAACAAGTAAAGAATGATGTTACAATTAAAACGAATGTGAGTTGTAGTTTTAAGTCGATATCAGTGTAGTATTACAGTTTGAAATTATACTTGACAAGTGAATATGACCTTACTGTGTAAAGAAAATTGTGTTGTATGAAAATAGAAGTGGAAAAAAAATGCAATAGCAATCACATGTTGGATATCCTTGAGATCAGGTTGCATGTACTTTAAAAAGTCTCAAGTAATTCCCAATTTATTTTTTTTGCCCAGTTCTTTCCTTGTTTGACAGTATTTGTTTGTCCTTGTTTGGGGTGATGAACATCTACATCTATGAAGAATAAACTCTTGATGCATATTTGAAGGACACTATGCAAAGTTGAAGGGTATTGGTGTAGTATTTGTCAGTGTATTCTTGAATGGTTACTGAGATGTGTTTGTTTGGCAGCAAATCTGGTTTGACTCACCGATGGGACAGACAGTATTTCTTCACTCAAGGTGGCAATCTGATGAGTAATGCCAAGGGACAGGTATGAAATTCAGAATATCATTGGCAGTCAGTGTCCACTTGCATCCCTGTTTTCATTGTGTGGTTGGCAGCTCCTGGGTACCATACGTGTGCGTGTATAAAATTCCTTTATAGCTCAAAATTCAGGAAATGTGTCAGTCAGAGGCCACTTACATCCCTGTTTTGTGTGATGTTGGTTGATATGTGAGCTCCTGGGTACCATACACGTGTGTGTATACTTTGCCTTTATCGATCCAAATTCAGGGAACGTGTCAATCAGTGTCCACTTACATATATGTACATCACTGCTTTGTGTGATTGGTTGATATGTGAGCTCCTAGGTACCATACACGTGTGTGTATACTAGCTTTGCCTTTATTGATCAAAATTCAGGGAACGTGTCAAATCAGTGTCCCCTTTACATGTACATCACTGTTTTGTGTGATTGGTTGATATGTGAGCTCCCTACACTACACAGCTTTATCCTACTTTTGACTCTGTGCTTTGGTTGTAATTTTCACTTGAAAAATTATATCTGGGGAAACAATATTCTGGTCGAACTCTTTGAAATAACCAAACAAAGTAAACAAAATCTGAAAATACGTATAATTGGTGTCAATATGTTTGTATAAATATTTGCTTTTCAAAAAACAGATGGTGGGTAAATGAATGGCACACAGCATAATATTTCCAAAAAAGCCACATAAGGTTTGTTAGTGTTTGTTTGGAGATAGTGAATTGTTTTCAAGTTCAGAATATTCTCAAATTTTTCCTTAAAGCATTTGCCATACAAGTATGTAATTTAAATATTATATATAGGCCTATAGTTAAGTAATTTTCACCAGTCTCTTGAACATGAGGAAAAGGAATTCCTGTCATATAAGTACAGGAGGATGAGAATAAATGCTGAACTGACATGAGATAGCTTACACTGTTTTCACCCCTTAGGATATGTAGGAAGCATAGGTAATTAGGTATATCCTATTGACTGATTGGCAAAAGCCTTTGGCACAGTATGAGAGGATATTTTCAGAACCTGCGGTATTCCTGAGATTGAGTGTTTGTAACCATGAGCAGGAGTTTGGATGGCTGTTTACCGGTATGATGAGTTATGTAGCCGGAATAGTTCATTGAATGTTAATACCTTGGAGTCTTTGGGGAGACATTTTAAACAGGAAATAAGCTACAACCGTGAGTACTACACAGGAGAATGGCTTGAGAAACCGAGCCGTATTTCATGGCCCTGCACTCAACCCATCATTTCCACTGACTGTACTTCAGTGCATTTCAATTGTTCATATAGACCCTAAACAGTAAGCACAGCAAAGAACGCAAGCATTATACCATGTCTGTCATGATGAATTCAGCTGTTTTTGCTATGAACAGTACCTATTACAGTCGAGTCTCGTTAATACAAACTCGTTCGGACCTAGCCAAATTGTTTGTTATATCAGAATTTTGTATTAAGAGGAACATCAGTCCCATTCATTGTGCACATAAATGCACAGTCGGGACTAAGGCTTTATGTTTGTTATAACCAGAATTTTGTATTAACAGAGTTTGTACTAACGAGAGTCGACTGTACATGTATAAGGGAATTCAGGTAGCATTGCTCACCTTAGACTTTGCAACCAAGACTATGTCTTGTGTCGTACCAAATGTTACATATTTAAGTCCAGAGAAATTATTGCCAGCATATGCATGTTTGTTTAATGTAGTATATTCAGGAGTAATTAATGTATCGGGTTTTTTTTTCCTATCTCTTTTAAAACTGAACATTTTTTTAATCATTTTCTTTTACTTGGGATTCATCAGAAGAAAATCTTGAAAAAAAAAGATGTTATCACTAACTGCAGTTAATATGTTGTATAGCATCAGCTGTTTGCTTTGTGTGTTACAGATTGCAGGAAGTTTAGTCCTAGATTTGGATGGCTGTACAGTCAATGCAGCAGAAGTTGATGATCGTCGCTTCATCTTCCAAATCACCAGACCAGAGGACACTAAAAAGTGAGTTCTGTGGATCTGCTGTGATGTGGCCTCCATTTATAATCGTTATACAAAGAAAATTGAAGGGAAAAAAATATTTAATACATTGACTACATGTACATGATGAAGTTGAATGCTTACACTATTCCCTTTGTTGACATTCATTGAACTGATGAAGGCCCACTTGGCAAGTTTCCAAAAAGCAAACACACATTTTTTATTTTTTTTATTTGAGCTGTTACAAAGAAAAGTTAGTTGAGAAATTCAACAACATGTAAATTGCAAATACGAAATAAATTGCAATAATGCAAATATGAAATGTTAAATGTGTTGTGTCCATTGGTGCTGGAAAAACATGATTAACACTGGAAAAACAAGGGGAAAAAAATGCTGTTTGTTTTCAATTGTCAAAGTGCCGCTCACTGAATCTGTCATGCCCATAGATCACAGGACATGCTTGATGTCGGCTGTGTTGTAGAAAAAATGTACCTAGGCTACTTAGTGGACGCACAAAGTCAATAGCTGGTTTGGATGTGTTAACGGATGTAGTATTTGAGAAAGCAGTTTTGTTCACAGTGAGCAAGCTGAAGTACTGATATAAATGTCTTTCTTCTTGGAAATGACAGCATACCAGGTGTAATGATTTCAATGGATATTTGATACTGTTATTTACTTTCACTCAAGTAGGGTATTGAACAAATATTTTGGCAGTTTTGTTTTTAAATCTCTGCTAATGGTATACATTCCCTTTAACAACAGTTGCCATGTTATCATGTGACTCACGTTGTCCTATTCTAGGTTGGTTACTCTTCAGTGTATGAGTGAATCTGATAGAGCCGAGTGGATTACTACAATCCGTAACATCTCCAGTGGCTTCTACATGCCAGAGAACAAACACCAAGTAAGAAGCAACCTATTTCATTCCAGGTCTCATGTAATATCTCTTCATTTTCTCTAATTATAAAAGTATACAACCCCCTCCCTCCCCCCTCCCCCTCCCCCTTCCCCGCCCCCGACTAATGTTATGGTACTAATGAAATGGGGCCAAAGTTACACATTGAATGCTAAGTTCCTAAATTCTCAAATGCCAGTAGAATGCAGGAGAAAATATTGTACATTGCAAAATGTTGGAGGGAGGGGGCGGGGGGGGGGGGGGGGGGGGGGTTGGACAGCACAGCCCCCGGACCCCCCAAGCAGTATGATGTCTTTAAAAACTTCTGAAGAGAATTACATTAAAAAGATGTACATGCAAGTCATCCTTTGCAATGTTAACCAACATGTAATATTGTCCATCAAATATTTGTTGAACGAAGAGAATAGACTGAAATTTGCTTTGCACCAGTATAACCTCCAGAATAATGTGCCAGGGCTCTACTATGTAACTGAGCTATCTGACAAGATGTTGGCAGTTGCCCAGTTTTTCAGTATTCCAGAATATCAATGTTTGTGCAATTGTACCTTCCAGGGTAATATCCCTCAAGCTCAAGGTGTTGGAGATGCACGATCACGAGCCTTCAGTGCCCCACCCACCGCAGGGACAACTCATGGAGGGGGAGGGGGTGGGGAAGGTATCATCACTACCCCCACCGGTGGCACACGCCCCAAGCAGCCTATGTCTCTGTCCAATGTGCCCCAGAAACAACGAGCTGACAGTTTTCAGCACAGGTATGTACATGTAATTATTTAGTTTTTTTCCACAAGTTATCTAAATATTTTATTTTCCTCTAAAACATGCAAGTGTCATTAACATGCTTCTACACTGGCACTTCTGTGTCATACTTTCATTGAGCCATTAGTTTTTAGTTTGTGTTAAAAATTGCTGGTCAACCTTTACCTATTTTCTTGTATCTTACATGGGAATTTTGTAAAGGATTCCATGCAGTTGGCAGTTCCCCTATACAAGCACATGTAGATGTACTGCATGCGCGCTGCATGCATAGCGCACATATCTGAGACGAGACACACAACACCACATGCTTCACAGTATAATATGTACACAGTCCAGTACGGTAAATTCATACAGTAGGCCTACTACTAATGAGGCCTGCATGTTTTTTTTACCAAAACGCGAATTGAAGCATTTACCATTTTTTTTCTTAAAGCTATAGTCCATCATTTGCAGCCATCCGAAAAGTAACTGGTGTAATTATTGTTGAAAAACAAACTTGGTTGAAAGATAGTAAGGGAACTAAACTCCCTGTGAAATTATTCTTTCTGGGAAGCTGTCATTTTGAAGTAATCAACGAAAGAAGGCATTTCCAACGGTGATTCTTAAGAAGCACCGTAGGAAAATTTAAATTAGTAGTTCGTTCTGTTATTCAGCGCAGCGCGCACAAGTATTGGAACGACGCACACGCGCGCGCGGTTGTTATAATTCGTCGGATCAGTGCGCGACGTCGCGTATAGCTGCAATTCAAAACAATTCAAAACATGATTCAGTAACTTTTGATTTGAAATTGAGATCTTAGAATGCTGTTTTTCTCGGAATGTACAGCTGAAGCTTAGCTGAAACTTCATCAGGTTAGTTGCTCAGTATCCTTCATTAGATTTTGAACTCTTTTGTTGCTTCAAACGAACAAAATGCACAAATTACAAATGATGGACTGTAGCTTTAAGGAAGAAAAATGAACCCAGAGTTTTCAGATTTTTTTGTTTTTTCAGGTGAGGACAGAACAATTATATTTGGTTATTCTTACAAATATTTAGTAATGAGAGCCTTGGCTTGGCTGTATTCTTGTTGAACAGTGGCAAGGAGTCATCCCGTTCAAGTGATACTAGCTGCTCAAGCAGTCAAGACATCCCAGCAACACCTCCACCATCTCCCCTTGATTCTGTGCTGTCCACTACACCAATCCAGTTTGATATGATCTCACCCAGTGAAGAGCAACCGCCTCCAATGACCAGATATGCTCCACCCACCAGGGAGGGATCACAAAGGAGGATCAACCCATTTGGAGATAAGGAGCCGAGACCCATACAAAGTAAGTCCAAAAATGCATCCCAGTGTTGCAACAAAATCACCCTAATATCAGGGGAGACTTTTGAACTTAAGATATTGTATGAGCAACATCTGCCCTTCAAGTATAGATACCTGTTATTTATAGGTAGTCAGATTCAAAATCAGATTCAGATTCATATTATATTAGTCATGTAAGTTAAAAAAAGACATGAAATTCTTTTATAAAAGGGTAAAAGCAATTTTAAAAAAACCCAGTAAAACAGCAATCTGATGTTGTCTTGTGGATCAGAAGCTATTGAAGTAAAGTGACTTGCTGAAGGACACAATTGTAACCTCTGTCCTTATTTGAAACCATTTTGGAGACTGTCCAAGTGCATATCTTATGAAGTTTGGACTAGTCTGATATCTGGTCTCTAAGACTCTAACCATGATGCACAGGAGGCACGGATATTTGCAACACAAATGGATAATCTACACACCAAACATGATTCACCATTACCCTGACTGTCTTCCTAATCCTTGCCCTAACCTCATTTCTAAACAATATCCCTACCCGCATCCTTAACCTATGTGCGTTCATTGTTTCTGTTTTCTTAATTCTTTTAATGCCTTTATTGAAAGGAATTGAAACAATACGCTATGATCCTCGAGTAGCGGGGGCCATTTTGAGCGGCTATATCAGCTTGCAAGTTATTTTGTTTGCCTATCTCATACAGTTGTAGGAAGTACTGATCCTGTGGGCTATGTCCAGATGTACTCGTTGAGGTTCTTGGGGTCAATGGAGGTCAGACGAGACAAAGGATTAGACATCGTCATGGATACCATCAGGAAAATCATGGCTGCCAGGGCAATTCATAACATCTTCAAGATGACAGAGTTGAACCTTGTGGTGACCAGCCAGTCTATAAGGTCAGGGGTCAACTTTGTCGGCATTTAGTGTAGTTTTCCCCCTTAAATGCATCAAATTAACAACCACTTTAAATGCAGCACCAATTAATAAAGCATGAAATTTGCCGAAACGATAAACTCAAATTCATGAAGGAGTTGTCAAAACATTCGATCAGCTTTTCTGAAAGGAGAAAATCAGTGTGCCACTTTTTGTCCTTACCTGAGTAAAATCTGCCTCTCGGGTATAGCAGAAATGCAGAACAAATAAAACATTGAAAAGGAAACGCCAGCAAAAGGAGGAAAAGTAAAATCTGCTTTCCATGTAGCAGAAAAGAAAAAGTAAATTTTATTGAAACGTACATTCTGCTTTTCTGGAAGCAGAAAGGCAGAAAAGCTGTAAAAATAGGATGTTTGAAAACGTTCAATGTGCTTTTTGCTATTCGGAAAGCAGGAAAGCAGATGTCCACTTTTGGTCCTCCATAAATACTGCGTATTTATACATCAATTTCTTGGCTTTAGAAATGTAAGGTCCTTCATTCCATTGCAGATTGCTTGACTCTGCCAAACAAGTAATCAAAGCTCATCATGATCTGACTGATGTGTCATTCTGGGCTGCCCATCAAGAAAACAAAAGGTACTACATTCACTGTCCTTAGAAAATCGACGTTTGAAAACGTGTTATTGATCAAATATGTTCAATACCTGTGACAGTGAGAGTGTTGTTGTCAATGTTCTTTTGATGGATCGGGATACAGTACACGACTGTTGAGAAATTTCTGCATGGAGGAGCCAACTTGTCTACTGACTTGAATGAAAGTCAGTAGACAACTTGAAGACAATTTTGATAGATCGAGGCAAAGCATTCTTCTGCCTCACAAAAAAACACCATATCTTGATAAAAAGAAAAGAAAAGACAAAGGAGTCTCGAATCATACACTTACACACCTATCGTATGTACAAACTAACAATTTGAAGTGTCCCACGCTGCAAATTTGTCTCCCACAATGCACTGCGAAAAAATGACTCTCCGTGGTTTCCTCTTAGTGGCGCACTGTTTAGTGAATCACTCGTATTGCTTGCAAGGTGAGCACCTACATGTATTATCATGAAAACCACTGATGTGATTTTTTGGGTCAGAATGGAAGTTGTGATTAGGCAATCTGTCAACATAGTAAACCCATGACTGGATAGCTCTGGTCAAGCGTTGGTAGTGTATTCTGAAAGTTTCAAGTTATCCTATTTCTGTTAAATCCAAATGTTCATATTCCACCAGGTTATTTGCCTTTATAACGCGTCAGCAAGGGGCTAGACAACAATCCCAGTTCATATGCCATGTCTTTGAAGCAGACGTCGGAGCAGAGGAAATATGCCAAGCCATTAGTCTGGCGGCCGACATCGCATTTCAGGCATTACTCCAGCAGCGTACCACAGCTCTTGCAGTGGGTCAAGACAAGGTATGCATTAAGATAGGGCTCGCTCAATGACGGCCATCTCTGTAGGAGAACTGCAACTGCGTATGTTACGTAATCAAACACGCATTGCGCAGTGTTGAAAATGTTCCAAACACGCGCGTTTGTTGCTCGAAATGTGTTTGAAATACAAAGCAGCCGATGCACGTTATGCAAGTTGACGCTCAAAATGCAGATGCACGTGGATGGTCTGTAGGAAATGACGTCATTTGAACGAGACCTATTGGGGACTATACACAGTTGAGATAATTCCTTTTGGCTTTTGTGTATATTTTATTGTGTTACTGATTAAGAATGTGATGTTTACACATTTACTTGTTTAAACGAAAATACAAATATAAATCCGTTTACAAATTTTCCAAAACGTTTAAATTTAAACCCGAATTATAAAAAAGGGACCTACCTTGACGCGATCTTTTTTTGAGTTAAAGAAATTTACAAAGTCTTCAAACCTATTTAATTTACAAAAGCTTACAAGCACCGCATCACTTGATTGCATTCGAGGTACACATAGTTGGTTTTACTTTTTCAATGACTGCCCGCTATTTATATGTTGTTCATTGTTTTATCATGTCAGTCACGCCGGTCTGTAGACATAATGGGTAGGCGTCAGCCTTTATCAAATGATACCGAAAATATGCAATTTTTGTTTTGTTTGGTATTATCAGGGAGACTCACCAAACCTAGGGTTAGCATCGAGTAGCCCACCAACCAGCCAGTTCAACCAGCCACCATTCCATACTAAGGAGCTGAACCAAACACTGTCACAACAACCAGGCCATCAGACTTTGCAACCTAGTGAAGCCCACTTACAACTCGGCCAAGCCCAGATGCAACCTAGTCCAGTCCAGCTACAACCCAGCCAAACCCAGTTACTGCCTAGCCAAACCCATTTACAACCAAGCCAAACCCAGTTACTGCCCAGCCAAGTCCAGTTACAGCCCAGCCAAACCCAGTTTGAACCCAGTCAAACCCAGTTTCAACACAATCCACAAATACATCATAGCCAACCCCCAGCACATCCCAGCCAGCCAAGTGGGTTCATACCGGTTCACACAATGCCCTCAGTGGATCCACACAGCAACCAGCATTTTGCGGGGCCAGCTAACAACTCCAACTCTAACAAGAACAACAGTACGTATGCCGGGTCAGCGTACGTACCCCAGGTGCCCATAGCGAGTGGGCTGGAAGGTCTGAATTTAGGCAAAGGTGTGGAGGGAGGGTATGATAACTCCAAAGCGCTTGATGAGTCAGATGCCTAGAGGTACAAGGAACTGCTTTCAGTAGTTAGGAATTTCTTAACTTATGAACTCCTTGTGATACTTAGTAAGGTGCTTTTATAGCCTACTGTAATTTGAAAGCCAGGTGAGGGCACCAACTGCTTGCACAAACGTGTTCATGCACAATATCAAACTTGACATTTCAAAAGTGCAAACCAACAGTGTACGGCTGTACGCCTCAATTTCTGATTGTGGAACAATTGGTAGCATACATGTACTTGCACAACTGATAGTAACTTGCTCAATAGAATAGAGTGAACAAGGTGACGATTAATAGTTTGTGAACGAATTGCCAGGGGTCAGGGTTCATTCTGTTAAATACTCATGACACTGACAAATCAGATTGTACAGTCATCCGTGTATACATTAAATATTGTAGCTCTCTGTTTTAGAGTAGCCATTGTTTATACATAATTCTCATTCCTTATTTTCAGTTTTAGCAGCTTCTTTGTATTTTTGAATAAATAAACATTTGAAAAATACTTTTGCATTATTTTTGATCTTTGGGTGACCTACTTACATGTATATATTTTGTATCATGAGAAAAATGGAGTAAAATACCGTTTCAGTGAAAAGTTGTAAATATTTGGTGCCTTTGCTATCAGTCAATATTTATCAGGGAATGATGCAAAAAAAAAGATAAGACCAAGAATTTAAAAACCTATTGTTCTTACATAAATAGCATTGGAACTCCACCATTATAATCTTAGTATGATCTGCACATCAAGATGGTATAGTGACCCTTTGCAATACTAATTCAATGCATTCTTATGTGTGCACAGGGACAGCTCCACTTTCCAAAGCAAAATTCATTCCAATTCAACACTTTGTCAGCTAATCTTAGGACCAATGTACTACACAGAATTTGTGAAGAGGTTTGGCTTGGAACCAAATTTGAAATAGTACAGGCAATGTTTCGGGTCAAGTGTTTACCATTCTTAGAAACTGCATTGAACATTTAGCACCAATACCTCTTTTTGATTCTCTGTTTAGATTTTCTTATTTTCTTTTAGAAGAATTTATTTAGCAAAGTCATTATCACATTGTATGTTTGATAAACAATTTATAAATATAATGAAGCAAGCTGTTGTTGCAAGGGATTTGAAATTACATTTTTACATAACTCAGAACAAGTTCAGTGATTTTAAAAAGCTATATTTTACAAGGTAAATAATGAGTAATTGTCAGTTTAATAATACTGCATTGTCTGTACAAAAAGTATATAATTCAATCAAATTGCATATATTCTGAAATAGCTGTCGTACAACAGAAGAGCTAAGCACTGTTGTTACTGTAAATGATTTCACAGAAAATGTAACGTGACGGTGCCTGAACAAGCAAGGTATGAAATTGAAAATGGATTTACACACAACTGTTGTAAATAAATACATGATTTGGAGCTATAAATCTATAGAATAAATAATACGTTTAGAGAATTGATTGGCAGTTTTAAAGGTTGTTAGGTGTGCAGTCATCAGGGCTCAATTTCGTGGCTAATATCGTAAGTGAAAAGTCCATGCAAACAAAATGGTTCACCAACGGGTAGCGTATCTCATAGTCAAGCATGGAATTGTGCATACAGGGTTAGCAGAAATGTCTGTGTTAGTGCTGTAAGCACAGAAGTGTGATCACAAGGGCAGAACTCTGTGGTAAACAAAGCCATGACATTGGGGCCTGGAGAATATGTTTGACATCAAAGGGTGTACAGTTAACGTTTGTGTTCTCTTCAGATATCGTGTAAAATTTATTTTCCGTTTGTCAAACAAACTTCTGTAGTTACAGGAATAAATAACCAACTATTCTAAAGACTGTAATCTAGCTTTTTACCATGATTTTTTTTAATGATACCCAGACCACCAATTTCTTGGCCTAATTATTGACTGCCCAGATGCAGATAAACATGTTGAAGTCATGTATAAAAATAAATGCCGTCAGTGATATGCTTTATTGTGCCTCAATATCAATAACATGGAATGGTTGCAAAATAAACAATGTATATTATAAGATGATATAAATTGAATAAAGTCAGCATATCTATTTTATGTTGGAGTTTTTTGCACAATTCTTTCATTTCAGCCTACTTGCGTGGTTAAAGTGTTCAAGGCTGCATTTCAAAGTCTATTATTTTAAATATTTGTTTAATTAAGTTCCTTTTCACTTTTATTCAAAACATTGGGGTCTGATTTGGTTAACATGATAATATAGGTGTAATGAATGGTATTGAACACTCCTAAATTCCCCATTAACTTTCACCAAGGCCAAAAAAAGTCTCCGGTTTCTGGTATGCACGCCTGTTCATTGCCGTAGCCATGCACATCGGCAAAATTAAACTTTTTTTTTTCAATGTAAAATGATGTCTGAAAACCACCAAAGTCACTGGTTTGACTGGAATCCTGCGGCTGCACAATTTTAACATGTTTTTAGATGGGGTTACAATCGAGTATAAGCTTTATGTGGCCTCTCTGGGCTCCCATAAATTTTGCACTAAATTTAGTCGGGCACCATTTGCAGACGGTGGTGTAAGTTTGTAATTGTGAGTCTGGAAGCCATACTGAGGGAGCGATGGTCGTTATCTGGAACCTGTAAATGCTTTTTAATTAGCGTAATATGTAAGGGAGCAGACTAATGACCAGCCTGGCAGCACATGCACGATGATGCTGTATAGTCTGATGTTACCGTTTTCTCTTGACTATCCAAATTTCCCGCAGAATGTTCATGTTCGTGTCGGTCGAGATCGTAAGATGGTGTAGAATTCTCAAGCCTTATGGCGTTACTGAGGTCACCTCAAGCTCCACCCTGAAGGATATTTTTGAGAGTTTTAAAGGGATCGAAGCGTCATCTGCATTACAGCCGACATTTGAAGAAAAACAAATTAGGGAAAAAAAAAAAAGTGCGTCGCCGCACCACTTTTGGGGCAAGCTCCGGTCCATACCAGAAACCAAAGACTTTTTTTTGGCCTAAATTGTGACAAGGCAAATTTCGGTACAATATTATCACTGAATCAACAAAGGCAACAGTTCATCAATATGTTACAAGATGACAAAATTGATAGACAGCCATGAAAGAATAAAACAAAAATGAGTCATTATCAATCTTTTAGAGCTTTCAGCTAATGGTGCAGAAGATGCTCATCGCCTAAGACAAGACACTCTTGTCTATATTCCAACCAATGCTCAGCCTACTAAAGATGCTCTCCTAAATGGGCAGCAAGTCAGGAAAATTTAAGTGGTAGTGAATTTTACCAAAGGCAGCACTTCTGGTCTTCTGAAAGCAGTACTCTGAGCCACCTATTTTTAGTACTGGAATTGACTTTGTGACTCGGTGTATCCCTGAATCCTTGAGGAAGTTGTAGACGGGTGTCACCTCTGCAGGCATGCCTCCAGTGTTTTAGCAAGCCCCATCAATGCCTTTGTAGCTGAGGAGTCTGGGTACTCTTCTAAGATGCTTTGACCTGCCTCACAGCATGATGTCAGGCTCTGTAATGGTGGAATGAGAATTGTAATAATGATGACACGGTTATTTCAGTTGTTTGTTGTGGGAGTTTGCATACTTCTCAGGCAAGGTAACAAGACTGTTTTCCTAAATGGGGATTTTTATTTCAGGATCACTTAACATTTTTTCATGCAAAGAAATGCGAGACTAATCTCAGACAAGGACTTACCGGGTCAAGTGGTATTTTACCCAAGTATCTGAGATTGAATTCTTCAGCTAATGCCTCAACACCACCAGTAGGAAACAAATTAGTTTCCTCCTAAAAATAGCAAATCAAATTTGAACAAAGATACTTAAATTTAAAATACACTACAGAAAACGAGGGTATCTGTCACAACAGAACAATAGCACATTTTAACAACAATTGTTGACTGCTGTGATGTGGGACTTGGCGTGTTTAACTCCCGAGGGACACATAGCACCCGAGGCAGAGCCAAGGGTGCTATGTGTCCATGAAGGAGTAAAAACCTCCATGTCCAACATCACAGCAGTCAATTGTCTTGTTAAAGCATGCCATTAATTAAAATAAATATTGTGACCTTCTCTTATGAAGTTAAATCACCACATTGTACCTTTGATTACTGCCAGAGAATTCTTAGCGAACATAAGAAATGAAAGGTTGCATTGGTTGCATTGCGTTCCCTGTAGATGCACCCTACATACTCGCATGTGTGCAAGGTAGTTTATAAGCCAAGCAATGGCGCTCCATGTTAAATTTTGTATCAATCTTTCAATTTTTTTTCTCCAAAATACATAAGAAAAGTGGAAACAAGATATTTTCAATACTTCTATTTTCCACAATAAAACTGATCAAGCTTTAAACGCCTTACTTATCAACACATCAACTAATATAACTATTAAGTAAAATTAAGAATTCCTTTACTAACAAAACTAGTGGCTTAAATGTATGACTCTAGGTGAAGTTTCCTTGGTACTTGTCAATACCAAATACATTTGTATGAGGGGATCTTATTTATGTCCTTATGTCTCCTTAAGAATTTCTTCCGAACACTGAATTGAATTTGGGCAATTTGCGACTGCTAGTTGCGTATATTCTCTATAAGTTAACAGCACAAAGTAAACAAATGATTTCTTTTTTTGGCAGCAGATTGTGATAATGGTACAGGGTGAAACCCTTCCCCATAAATCTTGGCTGAGTTGGTTGGTTGGTCAGTTGGTTACTATCCAATGTAACCAACAGCCGCTTCATTACAAATAATGTTAACTAATCTCATCAACCGCTTAGGAAATATTTCACAGTTTTCTCAATCGGAAAATCTTTTCATTTGTTTGTTGTTTTGAAGATGGATTCCACAGAATTTGTCTGTTTTGTCTTGCTGCAAAAACCAACATTCAATGGTGGTGTGTGGTGCCATTTTCTATTATGGTATTAAACACACACGCAAATGTCAAGAACAAAACTACCCAAACTTGGCCTTTGCGTCCCCACCTGGCAGCAAGGGCAGACGAATCCACTCATGTTCTCCACCACCCCTAGGATCGTCAGCCCCATCTTGCGGCAGAAGCTGATCTCCTTACGGACCGTTGCCATAGCAACCAGCTGGGAGGTAGTCACAATCACAGCGCCCTCTGGGTTCACATTTTTAAGGGCCTTCACGACTGTTAAGTGCTCATCGCTTGTACCTGGTGGGGTGTCTGGAGAATGACGGAAGGATTTTTCAGTTTCTTTCAACTTGTGAAAACTCTTACAGAGTAACTTCAAGTAACACAGGATACATTGTAAGCTTTCCAAAAGCTAGCTCTTTTGTTTGCTGTAAGTACATGTAACTGTTTTTCAATTGAGCAAATTGTCAATTCGTCTTATTGAAAATTTAAGGGCAGAAGTTTTTGGACAGCATACTACACTTTAGATCAGAACTACATAAGCACTGTGTAGACAATGGTACATGAAGGTTAACAACACTAGGTGCACTGAACTGAAAAAGATAAAACATTCCATCAATGCTATACTCTAAAGCCTATGGGTTACATGTGTGTGTGCACCAGTTGCTCTGCAAATTAGGCTAATACGGTTGATCCCCGCAAAGTGGAGACTCACCTGTGAAGTGGGTACTCACTCCTAAAAATCATCTAATTTTAAAATTCAAAACGAAATGCTCACTTCAGTCTTGCAGAAACCTTTACCTTTTTTCCCAACCCTCCTGCTATTTAAGCAGTCACACACAGTCAAAATTCACTTTTACTTCCCCTACTATACTTTTATCAAAGGCTGGTCACCAGCAGTCAGATCACATGTCAAACAAGCACAGTGTCAACAGACAAAGCAGAGTATGTAATTCTCCTGATGACGGGCAGAGCATACTGTTCGAAACGTTGAGTCCCTCCGGTTCTTTTCAGAACCACACATACTCAGAAAAGAGATTTATTCACATGGTGCTACCGCAAACTTATCTTGTCTTAGCTGTGTCAAGTTAATTAAACAGTCCCAGCCAGTCAATCCTACTTTACGTAGGCTGGGAATTCTTACAGGTTGAAAACAGTCACTTGATTGATTTTGACTGCAAGGACAACTTGGCACAGAATGTATGTTTGCATAGGAGGGATAATGGAGTTTGTCTATGACAAGGCCGTGAAAAAAGCCACTCACAGAGTTTTAAAAAACAAATTTACAGAGTAGAAAAAAGCTCCTTATGTAGTGCTTAAACAGGGATAGAATATAGACAATGTCACATCTATTCACAAAACTGGACGATGTGGTCACATTCTGCCAACTTTTGAAAACTGTTGTCTCCTGGAAACGAACTTTCATGTTCGTATTCTCTTTGGTACTGCATGTATATCTCTTGAAATATTGCTGTGTTGAAATGTGTTGCATTTTTAATTTTTTACTGTTAAATTTTGGCAAAATAATGTGAGAAAGATGATAAGGTGTTTGTTTTGCATGTCAGTTGTCTGTCGGCATGACATCATAGGTGACATGGTCTATAATCAGTTCAATGAAACTAATTGCATACAGAGCTAGACTGACCAAAGACAAGATAGTCCAGACGTCCCCAGAATGTGTCCTTGAGAAATCTCTTGATAAGCTGTGTCTTACGTGGTCCTCTCCAGACTACTGCACTGTCTGTTTGCTGAAGTAAGGACCCAATAGACATGACCTTAACATTGCCCAGTGGAGACCTGCAAACATCAATGATAACAACAAAATACAAAGTATGCGGGACCAATTAAGAACTATTTAATAACAAAAGGTAAGTACCCATACACAGATGAATGTATATACACAATTACATTATTCATCATGTAGGATCTTGTTCATGATAAATGTAAAAAATGAGTTCAAGTTTATTTCATTATAAAGGCATTGCAATAGAATAATAGTATTGGGGGTAAGGCAATAATCCCCAGCTTGTACTGGGTCTGCCCCCTTCAGAAGGGTACAGACTCAACTTTTAAGTGTATAAAACTTTCATTTAAGTTATAAATTTCGAACTTACAGAATTTCATATGCATTCTTTTAAACAGCTATAAATAAAGTACCATCCAAACAGATCATTCAGCAAAGGAAAAATGCACTCCTATAAGCATTCCCTTCAGCAAGAACTGGCTTGTACACACCTGTTCCTTGTCCTACTTACTTGAGTGGAGTCCATCCCCACTGTGTGTTGACCACAGTCTGAGCTTTAACGGCCATCAATTGTGGACAACTTGGTCCACAAATGTCTACATCCACTAGTCCAACCTGGGAACAATATTTTCAAAACAGCACACATTTACTAATCTGGGATGGCAGCTTTTTCAATTTCTCTCTGAACATTTTAAAGCTATAGTCCATCATTTGCAGCCATCCGAAAAGTAACTGGCGTAATTATTGTTGAAAAACAAACTTAGTTGAAAGATAGTAAGGGAACTAAACTCCCTGTGAAATTATTCTTTCTGGGAAGCTGTCATTTTGAAGTAATCAACGAAAGAAGGCATTTCCAACGGTGATTCTTAAGAAGCACCGTTGGAAAATTTAAATTAGTAGTTCGTTTTGTTATTCAGCGCAGCGCGCGCAAGTATTGGAACGACGCACACGCGCGCGCGGTTGTTATAATTCGTCGGATCAGTGCGTGACGTCGCGTAAAGCTGCAATTCAAAACATGATTCAGTAACTTTTGATTTGAAATTGAGATCTTAGAATGCTGTTTTTCTCGGAATGTACAGCTGAAGCTTAGCTGAAACTTTATCAGGTTAGTTGCTTAGTATCCTTTATTAGATTTTGAACTCTTTTGTTGCTTCAAACGAACAAAATGCACAAATTACAAATGATGGACTATAGCTTTAAAGTAGCAGTCTTCCAGTCTATTAGTTTTAATAATAGGAGCCAATAATTAAAGACATTTTTTCAACAATTAGTGGATTGACAGATACGAAAAGGAAACTATGAAGTGAACAATAAAGTATGCATAAACTTGAGACAACATACTTGCTTACAACAAACTAGTGTCATGTTTACCCTGTTAGGATGCAACTTGGCCAGAGCCATTGAGAGTGTGCAAGCTAAACTGGATTTGCCCACACCTGCAAGCACAAAATGACAGTTGGAAAATATTCAATTACATTTCTATTTAACCACAAACAAGCCTTACAAGTGTAGGGTTATTTACCACATCAAAATGCAGATTGTCCAGTTGGAATCATAGTTTTAAAGGGAATGTACATCATTGGCTGTTGCTGTAATTTTCAGAAAATGAACTACTTGAGGGTTAGTATAATAGATCAAATACTGTTACGCTAACATGTTTGAAGTTTTGTGTTCGAAAATGCTGGAAAAACCACCACCATTAGAAATGTATACAAAAATACCATTTTTCCTCAAAATGACTTCACACCAGGTGCCCTAATTTTACAGGATGCTTTAGACTGTCATTTACCAACATCCTAGCATGATCCTAGTGAGATATTTCGTAAAAATTTGGTGGTTTTGTTTTTCGATGTTTGCAAATGTTGCACATGTATATTCCCTTAAACCATGCAAACATTGTTACACTTTTGTTCCAGATTTTGTCATCGGTCATGTATTGGATGTTGACCACAACTTGCTGTTGCAAACTGTACTGTCATATAATTTTGCTCACAACCTTAGAATCTTTTCAAATAAAAAGGGATTGCCGAAGTGGGGAACTGCTAACACAGCGTTCGATAGCTCAGTTGGTAGAGCAGCGGAACAGCAATCCGGAGCTCACAGGTTCATATTCTGCTCCCGTCAATTTCTTTGTTCAACTATAAAACCATTCAATTGTGATCATTATGCTTGAAGAATTTTGATGGTTCATTTAGTTAGCAATTTCTTAACCTATGTTAAACACACTATGGGGTTAGCTTCATAAGCTGAAATTCAATTTCTAAGGGTTTTTCACTAATTCTTTGTATTTGTATACTAAACAATGTTGAACATTACTGGCACAAGAATTTCAAGTCAATGTAAGCCGTTCTATTCTAGTGCAATAAGATAGAATGGACAATCGTCAAAGGTGACAAGACTGAAACCAAGGGCTTTGATACATGAATGATTACACCTTTATCACATTGAAGTCTTTTGATCCCGTAGTAAAAATGCTACAACTATGGAACTGACCTCCTTTTCCTGAGAGAACAAGTATCTTATGTTTGATGGCATTCATTCTCAGGTCAATCATCTCTTGGTCTGGGTCTGATCCACCTAATAAACAGAATGAAATCACAAATCAGGCCTAATATCATTGAAAATCAAGCTGCGTGGTCAGTGGCGTAGCCAGGAATTTTTCAGTGTGGGGGGGGGGGGGCGTCATGTAGATCAATGATAATTTCTTTAGAAACTCAAAATCTCAGTGGGGGGGGGGGGGGGGGGGGGGCGACTGGGGAGGGCGACAAGGTTTCATGGGGGGGGGCTGTTGCCCCCCCATGGCTACGCCACTGTGAGTGGTGCATCCTTCAATGTGAATGTGTAATCTGTAACTTGAACACTTGTTGGTACCATCATTCTAACATTTTACGCAATGTTTGTATTCATTAATAATGATTGTCGAGCAAACTAGGTGTCAGACTTATGAGGCGTCAGATGTATGAATCGTCTGACTTATGGACCGAAATCAAAGTAAATTTAATTGTCGGACCTGCGAGGCGTCGGGCCTATGAGGCATCGTACCTATGGGGCATCTATGGGGCGTCGGACCTATGGGGTGTCGGACCTATGAGGCGTCGGACTTATGGGCCTTTATTTGGTTGGGGGATGAGATTTTGTCAGAATAACCCTAACTCCTAGGCCTTTTTGTTAGGATGCAGCCTCAATCCTGCAAAATCCTCCAATTGGCCTCCTGGAAAAATAGCACATAGCCTCAATCCTGCAAATTCCTCCAGTATTTCTTGAATATAGTCCGTGGAGGGGTGACCACTGCCTGAATCCTGCAAAATCCTGCTGCAGTGACTGTCAATATGTTGAGGCTTGGCCAGTGACATCCTGGAGCAGTACGGAGGATTTCAAGCATAATCCAGGCCTACATTATATTTATACATAGCTGAGCAAAAACAACACAAGGTCTGGCCCAAGACCTTGACAAAGTGCATCCTACGAAATCAGTAATGCACTTTTGCCATGTAACCTCAATCCTCCAAATTCCTCCACTTTGGCAAAGAGGGCTTTGAAGGATTCAGGGCGGTTAGGGCTAATGAGGCGTCGGACCTATGAGGCGTCGGAATTACGAGCGGACCCCTAATAATGATGGTCCCCTTACCCATTTATTCTATCCATACTGGGATAATATACTTCCATCCCAATGCATATATCCACTTCTACGTGACAAGGGTGATGTCACGTATAATTATAGTTGTCAACAGTTACCTTGTTGTTGGCACAGTGACTGCCCAGGACATCCCTTGCATACATCAGCCCTGCCAGCCAATGACTGCAATAGAATCAAATTGTACGAATGGCATTACATTAGGTCTTAGTGCTGTGCATTGCATTGTTGAAAAATTAGTATTTGATTATTAAAATTTGGATTTAATCAGATGTTTTCAAATATTTGAAACGTGCCGATCAAGTGCACCAGCATAAAGAGCATATTCCAGATGGCAATTACACGTTAAAATCCCATAGTGTTACCAGGTTTACCGGTCCTTCACACACTGAAAGTTTTATACACAAAACCTTGCCCGACTGCCTTTTAGCGTTAAAAACGCTTCTCTGTGACAACTCATGCTTTGTACTTCTTCTTTCGTGTCCATCATCTACATGTAGGTTTCAAATGTTCGGCCAGGCTCTTACACAGTGAACAGCCTTCTCATTTGCCACCACTAGATCTTCCAGGCAGCACTGACCCCCCGAAAAATCACAATGCTAGTAAGTAGAAGACTAACGGAAAGGTGCCTTCTAATTCCAGAAGTGGGGCTACATTACCGGCTGTTCAGATGTGTCAAGAAATATCAGAATGTCACTTGTGAGTGTCATTTAGTCAGCTGTTTGGTGAGTCTTCACCTCATATAGGAACTGGGTCCTAAAGGTAAGGATTAGGCCTACCCTTAACCCTAAAGGGGCCGGGTTATTTTGACCATCTCTCAGCCGGGGGGGGGGGGGGGGGGGGGGGGGGGGGGGGGGGGGGGGGGGGGGGATTCCGCCCCCCCCCTTAAGATCTCGGCCATCGAGTGACGAAAAATTTGAAACTCGGCACATGCATAGAGCAACTCTTCCTAAACATACCCAAGAAATTTCATGACTATAGGTCAAAGGGTTTTGGAATTATGGCTAATTAAGTATTCATATGTACGAATGGCAATTCTGCTCTGTGTACATGACGTATATGCGAAAATTCAGTTTTCACGGAAAATTTTTCGCTACGCAGCAACCAGTGGTCCGATTTTTATGTTTTTGGTATCAAAAGATGCGCAAAGCTCGAGGCTAAAAAGTCATAACAGCTTGGGTCGCGAAATTCTTTTTTTTAGAGGCTATCACGGAAAATGTTCGGGGGGGGGGGGGGGGCGGATTCCGCCCCCCCCCCCCCCCCCCCCCGGCCCCTTTAGGGTTAATATGAACTGAAAAGTACCAAAAGTTGTAAATCCTATGAAAAAAAACACTATTTTAGGAGTGCAAATATTCTTTGATAATGCTGTAACTTTTTCTGTAATGGCCCATAGACTTTGTGTAGTACCGGTACTAGTAATAGACTTTGAGTGGTGGCCTTGTATTGTAATGTTACTTTGTATGGAACTCTTTCCCACAAAACTATTATGGCTGCAAAAAGGTAAGGAAAGAATGCTGCAACCTGACGCTGCTTCAGCAGTTGTGTACAAAGTCTACAGAGAGTCAAGAAAATGTTCTAAGTATTTCCTAACAAAATTGGAAATCAACAGAGGGTGCTGTACTCTCTAAGATAGGGCTGAATTAGGCCTATAAGATATATTAAATTCCCACCAACGGTTGTGTAGCACCTGTGGCCTAGTGGATAAGCAACGGATCTCATGAGCGGGAAGACCCGGGTTCTATCCCTGCTGGCGAAATTTTCAAGGTTTTTTTTCCCCCATCCCCCCAAAATAAGAATATTCTTCTTTTATTATTTTAACATGTCTCATGAAACATTTTATTGTCAAGTTTTACATTTTCTTTCTCAGATTTGTGGCTCTGGAGGTTTTTTTTTAAACGTAAGTACAAAAAAAACCCCAGTCACTGCGCATGTTCAGTGCATATTCGGCAAGCTAACGTTTACTAAAGGTTTGCCCTCTCCGGCTAAATATCCACTGCCTTTTTGCAATGACTGACCTTCATTGAGATGTGATGGTACTATAGGCCCCTTACATGTATATGAAGAAAAAAGCAGCGTCAGGTTGCAGTATTCCATGGAGGAATTAGCCCCATAAATGTGGCCAATTTACTGGACAACCTCCGTAAATAAAGGCCACACTTCCACCATGTACAAAAACATGTTGAACTTTGTCAAATTTTGATTTTTACATTAACGCTTAGTTTGTAGTTTATTTTTGCTTTAGAAGCATACTCGCACTCTTTATAGGCTAATCAGAAAGTGCTGCCTTTTTCAGATGTCTAATTTTCGTGAAATTTCATGTTGAAATCTTGATATGCAAACGGGTGCAAACGAATCTGGAAATTTCACGAAATGTAGACATCTGAATAAGGCAGGGCTGGGTAATTCCAGCTACTGATTAGCCTATAAAGAGGGTGAGTATGCTTCTAAAGCAAAAATAAACTACAAAGTACAAACTAAGCCTAAATGTGAAAATCAAAATTTGACAAGGTTCGACATGTTTTTGTGCATGGTGGAAGTGTGGCCTTTTGGCTTTATTTACGGAGGTAGGCCTAGTCTAGTCCGAGTAGCCCCACTAGTGTGGCCGTCGGTATGCTGCGCTGAACCAAAGGCCACACACCGTGGTGCGCACACTACTGAGGACGTTTTCATAAAATCTGCGGTCCGTTTCTTACATTCTCAGTTTCTTATTTTCTTATGGTTGTATTCTATGATGTCTCACCTATCACTTCTGGATGCTTAGATGTAATGATGTTCCATTTTCCGAGATATTCTTCAATCTTTCTGGAGCCCATATGAACTCGTGAAACGTCTGGTGATGGCAGCCATTTTGAATGGTAATGTGACAAGAGATGACCTCAAGCTGTGACGTCGCGTTTATGCAAATTGCTTGTCGAGCGCGCGAGGGCGCGAGTTGCAAATGCGACGGCTGTTTCCTGTACCATGCATTTATCGTCAGGGGGCCACGTGCACCGATCTCCCCTCAGGATCTACGGCACAGGAAACAGCCGTCGCATTTGCAACTCGCGCCCTCGCGCGCTCGACAAGCAATTTGCATAAACGCGACGTCACAGCTTGAGGTCATCTCTTGTCCCATTCAAAATGGCTGCCACCACCAGACGTTTCACGAGTGCATATGGGCTCCAGAAAGATTGAAGAATATCTCGGAAAATGGAACATCATTAGAGACCTAAGCATCCCAGAAGTGATAGGTGAGACATCATAGAATACAACCATAAGAAAGTAAGAAACTGAGAATGTAAGAAACGGACCGCAGATTTTATGAAACTTCGTCCTCAGTAGCGCGCGGTACCACGGTGTGTGGCCTTTGGTTCAGCGCAGCATACCGACGGCCACACTAGTGGGGCTATAGTCCGAGTAACTAGGACTCTACGGATCGCCAGACCATGTCCAAATATTAAAAAAAGCGATCCATAGAGTCCTAGTTACTCGGACTAGGCCTAGTCCAGTAAATTGGCCACATTACATTTAAATGGACAGATGCATGGAGGTATAAGAACACATTCCTCCAACCATGTACATGTACGTCCATCTGTCCATGCGCACTCTTTCCAAAGGTAAAGATTGCTTGTTAATATCAGCACACATAATCTGTATCTGTATCTGTATCTGAGTACAAACCGTTTCAGACGGACAACCGACAGCTACTGCAGCATCTGACTCTTTCTGTGTCTCCATGTTAATCGTTGCCTAATATATTTGCAATGCAAGACGTTTCACATAATCGTTTCACGTTCACACCATGGACAGCGCCATCTTTCGTCTCTGCTTACATACCCGGTACCCGTCGTTGAGGTCGCTCTTTGCGGGTTGCACTAAAAAGCGTCAACACAGCGTCAACACAGCGTCAACACATGACAGAAGCGTCAACACACCGTCAACACATCCAAAACACATTCTGAATTGACAAAAATGGTATATAATTGTAAAGCATCGAATAAAAGAGATTTTCCATTGGATTGAGTTTCCATTTCGTGGTAACAAATATAGTATTTTCACGCGAAAAAAAATGACCTTTCACTTGCACGGCCGTTGTCCGCCATCTTGACTTCGCGCAAAGCTTGGACTACACCATTTCAAGTAGGGGTGTGTAGGTAATGACATTATCGTGTCATAAACATTAACAACAGAGGGATACCAGATCTGTAAGGACTGAGGATCGGAGTGGTGGATCATTAATTTGTGAGTTGTGTTTATGTTTCATTTTATACTTTATTGAAATGGACATCTTTTGGTATTGGCCGGCCGCGCCCTCTCTGTTGGTTTATTGTACAACGTTATCACCCTTTAGCATAATGGTATGGTCTACCGAGGCAACATGGCAGCCGATTTCGGAGCGGCACGGAGAGCCAATATTCTTGAACGGATAATCGCAATTTTCAGACGCTTAACAGACGTTTAACCTATTAATTTTAAGCCAAATCTTGTTTCTGTCCATAATGTATGGGTTACATACTGCTTTTGTCACTTTTGATGCATTTTGGATGTGTTGACGCTGTGTTGACGCTTTGGAGTGTGTTGACGCTGTGTTGACGCTTTTTAGTATGACCGCTATTTGCAGCGCAAATAAAGCTCTCTTTTAAAAAAATCTTCAGGATTAAAAGTGAAGTCATCTCGTAAACGCCTTAAAGACACAATCTGAAACTAAACCACGAAGGAAACAAACAAGAAAAGAATTGGGGGCTCATCTGAAATTTTATTGAGTCTGATTCGAACTACAAACATAAAAAAACGTTCATTTAATTGGGGATTTCACTAACATGCTGTATACTTTTCTCAGAAATTTACAAGAACCTCCAAAATCTTGTTCTTTTAAATTTTGAACAAACTTGATACTTTCTTAAAGAGGGAATAAGACTCATGTAATATTTTTGTGAAATAATTAAAATGGACCTTCTATGAAACGGATTAGTTTACTGTTATTAAATTTGCACGCAATTCATACTGACATGCAACTATATGTTCAAACAACTAAATGAAGAACTAAAATTATGTACCAATCAAACAAAACCTTATCAAACAGAAAAAAAATATGTATTAATTAAGTTGTCAGATTTTCTAATTTTCAGTTACAAAAGAGCTAAACAAAACAAAACACTTGGTGATGTAAATGAAATTAGACATTTTAACTAAAAATATGAATTATTAGTAACCATCAGTGATTATTTTTTTTCCAGAGGGATTAATAGACGCAAAACCAAGATATAATCAAAACAAAATCAAAGGGCCATGCTGCATCAATCGTTTACATTTGTAACTTCTTCTATGACAACTTGACAGCTCAAAGCAGCTCACATTTTATGTTCCAATGGTCCAAGAGTAATCTGACAACTATAAGGTCCACAATATAAAGATGACCCAGATGTGACCTTTGCCCTGGGGTTATGACCCATTGGGTGAATTCTTTGCACCGGGAACTTGAATCCAAAAAGTGGAATTAATATAAGTTACCAGTCATTTCCCCAATGAAACTTCAGAGAATGGGATTTTTTGGTGTGTTTCACATATTATTTTGCTCTTGTAATGACATTAGTATAAAAAAATACATCATTCATGATTTCACACTATATAAACTTTAAAGGCACAAATGTTTGTGTTATTTAGAACCTTATTAAAAGAGTTGAAATAGTTTACACATTTTCCCCATGCAGTAAATTTTTATTTGAATGCGAGATACTTCAGAGAATTACAAACCAATAAGATAAAATAGATGGGATTTCTAGATTATGTTTACCTACTAGACTGCTTTTGTATTACTGTAAATCTTTTTCAAACATGCCTACTTTTATGTCTATGCCAGTAGTATGCTATGCCTAGCACCATGCAGTTGTTGGACTTGACTCAAACGGATCCAACCTATTACAGAACTCGCTTCACTTGGAAGGCAAACTCTCCTTTTAAAACTTGCAGTTGAAGTCATTCCACAGCTGACTTTAATTGGCCAAAGCACCTATGGCTCTACACATCAACTATACGTATTAGTATCATCAAACAATGGAAAATCAAATCAAAAGTAATGAAAACAATGCTATATAGCACCAAATCATATCCCAAAGTGAAAGCAAACGATACTAGAGCACCTTGTCAAAAACAACATAATTTGATTACATAAGTTTACTAATTGTAAATTGTATTCAAAGGTTAGAATAGGACGACTTGTTCACCGTTGAGCACTGGGATAAATTCACACTCCCTAATGTTTGAATTTGCTTGGGTTAAACAACAAATACATGTATATATAATGACAAAACACAGAGATTGAATTCGCTTCTGACCACCTACCTAGAATCAGAGTTGTAACGAGTCACTGATTTTTGTGACTCGAGTCGAGTCGAGTCATTTTAAAGAAGTGACTCGAGTCGAGTCCAGTCATTAGGTGGAGAAGGTCGAGTCGAGTCGAGTCGAGTCACAGTGTGTAGTCGAGTCGAGTCAAGTATTTAACTCGAGTCAATTCGAATCTCAAATATTTGAACACTATACAATAAATACACAGAGAAAGTCATTTTTGGCTTTTTAATTTTACATTCCGGCTACTTCATTTGGCGACACCACATTTGACTTTTAATGAAAATAAAAAACGGGGTGCCAGCTGATCGCCATTCAACTAATGGGGACACTGATCAAACCATGTATAGATTATTCGCGAACATTCTAACGCGACGTGAACAAAAACCGGCACCGGCGTAAGTCACTGCAAATATTTTTCACCAAGTTTTGCTTTTATATTTGGGACTAGAGTCTTATTAGCCTTCCTCAAGTCGAGTCGAGTCATTCTGATGAGGGACTTGAGTCGAGTCGAGTCATTTGCTCGCAGTGACTCGAGTCGAGTCGAGTCATTTGCCCTTAGGGACTCCAGTCGAGTCGAGTCACCAAAAAATGTGACTCGAGTCGGACTAGAGTCGAGTCATTGACTCGAGTCATTACAACTCTGCCTAGAATATACCAAAGTGTAATGGATACATACAATTCATTGTTAAACATACAAGCATTAAACATGCAAAGCGTTTACTTAAAACCCTAACTCCCTAGGATGATTTACTAGGAACCTTCCTCATCCCTACAAATTCCAACACCCTGTGCTATTAAACTGTGCACTAAACAGCCGGACTCCACCATTAGGGTTTTAAGTATAAGAGGAAATGAATTTTGAACAATTAATGTGTAACCCAAACAAATTTAAGCAAAAGTCAAAAGTAGCCTGACCAATTTCGAATATACTTTGCAGTTAAAAAAATACTCCTGTATTTATGGAGGGGGGATTTCTTATTTGTCAGAAACGATCCACAGTATAACAAAGCAAAGGAATATGTGAATTTTTCCCAGACCAACTTCTCATGTATTCAGAATATTTATACTGCTCATGCAAGTCCATTAAAAAAACAATTAATGTTTAATTACAACTTTGTTAAAAAAAATTCCCCACATACATACAAAATAGTAATCTACACCTCACTATAAAAATACTGCATAACAACTACTATAAATACTGCCCATTGGTTTCAGCCTATTAAACAAGACTAACATGATTGATCTTGCTACCTACAGCAGTATACCTGTCTTCTATGACCTGGTCTATGTCAACACACACATGTATTACTATCTGTGGTGTCTGGTTTTTGCTCTGTGACATTCACAGGATTTTTTTTTGTCCAAACATTTGCACCAGAATACATGGAATATGTAAAAAAAAAAAAAAAAAATCTTTCCTGACTGCCAATCCAAGTTATTGGTCTATCCTGTGTGTGTCTTTGTAGTGCCAATGCCAACAGATACAATTTCGAGGAATCATAAGTGGCATATTGAGGCATACATGAATGAACCTATCGCAATGGTTGTATTTCTCAAATGCAAGCAGATCTCCAAGAATATTTTCTTCACAAAGGCCAAATCTGAACGTCATGAAGACAAAGCCAAGGGATAATAAACAACAGGCATACTGCATGCACGTCACGGATTGTAATTGTAATAATATCAATAGTTAAAAAAACAAAACAAAGGCAGCTTCAGTTGTCTTTACACGATAGTAACAATATCAAACAACTAACGGGTTACATAAATACAATAAAAATGAGTACAGAAAATAGAAAACTATCCACTCACACCACTTTAAGAGTGATTAACAGCCAGAGCTAGAACTGTTGGGTAGTTGTTTATATACAACGGCGTAGTTCAGCAGATATAGAGTACAATGATCACTAGATGGCAGTGTTACTAGCAAGGTTGTGCAATGAGATATCTGATGAATTAGATCTAACACGATCAACATGCAGATAAATAAAAAGCAGGGTAAGTTACTTTTTTTGTGCATGACTTTGTGCACTCTCTTAAAGAAGATGGCCAAGTTTCCTTCAAACAGTACTGCAATGAAAGAGTTAGTGCAGAGTTTCTTTCCTGAAATGTCCTCTCTTACGAACCGCGGCTGAAACCCAATTCGCATGCGGTTTGTTACTGAGGTGAACAAGCAATTTTTAATGGAAGACTCCCAATGGAAGACATTAAAAAGCAACAGTTCATTAAATTTATGACTATTCTTCGTTTCAGATTCTTTGACTCAAAAGAGCGCTAATGTAAAGGTGATAAATTGAAAGTTTTGAATTCAAAAAGGGCCAAAGTGACGATCTGCCCACCAGCCCTGCCTACTAGCAAGAGGGTTACAATGGGGTTTTATCATTGCCTCAGTGACAAAAAAAGCTCTCTCTGTAACTGTTCTCGCTGTTTGTTTGTTTGTGTCTGGAACAAGTACCAGATGTTTAATGTTCAATTGTGTTTATGTGAAAGAAGCAAACCAAGTGGTGGGAAGAATCTGAACCGAGACCATGAAAGGCAGTTTGCCTTGACTAGGTTCCCTTGCATGTTCGGTAATATTCCGAGCGTTCTTGGATATGTTGTAGTAAGCCCATCATCCTCATGTTAAGGGCCTCAATCTCTGCTGATAGATCCACCATCGTGTTCTGGTTCAGCTCAAAGACACCTTGCATCCCTGCAGAAGTAACAAAATGAAATCTTTGAAAATGACCTAACTTCTATCTGAACAACCTGGGGAACTGGCACACACTGAAAACCACTGCACTGTGAACAAGTGATCCAAGATAGCTCTACCATGTTTACTGTGAGCCATTGCAAAAACTCACGCCTGAAAAAACAGACATGAATCATTGACATATGAATGCCCATTCTTGGTAAAGCTTGAAATAGAGATACGATTTTTTTTTTAAATGTAGGCTTGTTCCCTTTTTTGTTTAAAATAAATAAGACTAAAATATGTACTGCACAAGTTTAAGATTGTGATTTTGCCTCTGAATGTGATTTGAGAAGAGGTAACAATTTGAGAAATGCATAACCAAAACCTTACCAAGCAGGTTTTTTTATTTCACCTTCTTCACAAACTTCAAATGGGCATAGTTTGCCAAGGATAGTTCATTTATCAATTATTGACTGCTGTGATGGGGGATATGACGTTTTGAAAACCCGAGGGGCGCATAGCACCCGAGGTGAAGCTATGCGCCCCGAGGGTGTTGAAAACGTCATATCCCACATCACAGCAGTCAACAATTGTTTTGTTATACCTCTGTCTTGGATTCTTTGGATTTTGATGTAAAAATCACGAAAACAAACGGCAGTAAACACAACAATCATGATAATCTAACGGCAACTCACATGCATGTCGCGTGCTCAGCTGATCGTCTGGCTAGTTCGCTGTTCCCAATCATGCGTGAAAACATGGTGGAAATAGCATGGGTACCAACGATACAAGCGTTTCACACCATACATACCGTACGTACAAAGTCATAGCACACTCCCTGTGGGATATTGTGTATTTGATATCCCATATGGAGTGTGCCATGACTTTTTATAAACACAACACGGGATCTTTCTAGGCCAATGAAAATACAGTATTCAAGACAGAGGTATAACAATTCCAAATATTACACTGTCACTGTTAAGTGTCTGTTTTAACAGAATGCAAGACATTGAGGGTCCCATTTCTAAGCCACACAGCACCATCAACAGATTATGCAAAAAGTAATGGCAAGATTCTTAGTGACGACTTACTGTTGAGATCCTCCAGCTGACTACTGACTCTCTCCTGGAATTCTACGGCCTCATCCTTCAGCATCTCTGCTTTAGCCTTAGCATCGCTGGCCTCCTTGGATTTGGTCATGACTTGGTCCGATGTCTGGTTGAATTTGGTTTCCAGCTCACCAACACTCTATCGTCAGCAGTGGATTGAACATGAGAACAAGTTCAGTTTCATTTTGATGTTAATAAAACAAACTTATTTTCGTATATATTTCAAGCACACCCCTTGTCCATCCCGGCAGAGTCCCTTGCAGACTCAAGCTAATCCCCTTCAGTAAACCAACTTATCCAATCTTGTACCTCAGCTACCCCTCACCTTTCCCACTTCATACCTCTTTTCTATAAGCTCAGATGACCCAGAGTGTACCAAACACATTTTTACTCTTTACCCCCCCCCCATATCCCCACTCACACATTTTCATATCAAATTTTACCCTTTTCCACCCATACTTAGGGGTCATTCAAAATTTTTGATATTTTTAAATTTAGATTTTTGTTCCAAATTGTTTTGACCCACCCACCCACCCACCCAATTTTCAATCTTAAAATATTGATTTTCCATTCAATAAGAAACGTAATGAATGTCCAGTTCAGTGACGGCGGAATGCAGCTGCAGTCCTCAGTCCGTAGTCAGTACCTTTGCAACAACACGGCCCACTGGCATTCCCGTACGTATAGGGAATCAACCTTGAAACACACGTAAAACTAGTCCATTATAAACGGTAATAATAAGTATCAGCTCGCTCTAAAAAGGCGTAAAAAGTTGTAATGACCCCATTATTCATGAAGATTATTCAGAAATTTCCGTCGTTTTTGATAGAAAAATAATTAAACTCTTAGCTCGCGCTTTCCAGACATGTGAGAGCTGCCATGTCCATTGCAAGCAGATATACCATGAGCATCCAGGCAGGTTGCCTAAGTAGTCTTGAACACAAGTAGGTTGTCGCGATTCGTAACCGACACTCGTGGCGGGTATTAAGGCAAAATGAACCTGGTATCCCGCTCCATTTGTACAGCGCACTGATTGTACGCATGCATGCCATAAGTCTAACTTCACTGGTCCCCATGCATAAGGTGCTCCGATGGACGTATACACAATACACGGTCCATTGTACATGTACCGGATGCATACTGTACCTGTACGGTACAGGCAAAGGGTTTACGAATCAGTCGGAACGCAGAGAGTTGAATTGGCAAGTCAAAAGAGCTATTTTCTATCTTTTTAATTGAAAAAAGTGAATTTCGATTAACAAAAAATTCAATAAATAAATTTGACCCACCCGTCCACATTTTCGATAAATTTTTTTAAAAACATCGACAATTTGAATGGCCCCTTATCCCTATTCCCAACTACATCAGATACCTTTTAAGCCTGTTTTATAGCCAAACCGATCCCTTGTTTACCTCAAGTTTACCTCACATGTACCTCATTTCATCCCCTTGTACACTCCTTAATAACCCATATGCGTAACCCCATCAGATAACCCTTTTTTTGCACCTGACCTCCTTGTGTACCCCAAGTTGTTACACAATTCTGTAAGCCCAGCTGTGGCTCCCTTCTGTAACCCAACTGGAACCCCCTTCTGTACCCCAAGTTGTTACCTGATTCTTTAACCCCAGCTGTGACCCCTTATGTAATCCCAGATGTGACCCAGTTCTGTACCCCAGCTGTAACCCCAAGCTGTGGCCCCCTTTTGTAACCCCATTCTGTAACCCAAGCTGTGACCACCTTCTGTACCCCAAGTTGTTACCCGATTCTTTAACCCCAGCTGTGACCCCCTTATGTAATCCCAGATGTGACCCAGTTCTGTACCCCCAGCTGTAACCCCAAGCTGTGACCCCCTTTTGTAACCCCATTCTGTAACCCAAGCTGTGACCACCTTCTGTACCCCAAGTTGTTACCTGATTCTTTAACCCCAGCTGTGACCCCTTTATGTAATCCCAGCTGTGACCCAGTTCTGTACCCCAAGCTGTGACCCCTTTCTATAACCCCAGCTGTGACCCCCTTCTCTCCACTGACCTGCACAGCTTGATCAGCATCAGCATCAGCATTATTAGCAAACTCGGAGGCTTCCCTGATTTTCTCTTCATTATCTGTGAATTTGCCTTGGACTCTCCTCAGTTGTTCCTCCATCTGGGTCAGTTTCTCTTCCAGCACATCAGCCTTATCAATGGCAGCAGTAGCCTCCGACTCAATCTGCAATAAAAAAAAAAACCCCAAATGCAGTCAACAAATAGAAACGAATGCAGTGACAATAAACAAGTTTATTTTATAAGATGCACATGTGACTTCAAGCCCAGTTGGTACTTCTCACAAATGCCCATAGTAACTTTGCAATCCAATAAACCTGTGACCCAATTTCACTAAGTTAGTGGCAAGCCCTTATAGCTACATTGTAATGGGGAAATGTGTCATGTGCCAGCTTTTAAAATATAATATGGACAAAGAAAATCACTATAATTGTCAATAGTTTTTGATTCCACCTAAAGATAACGGGTCACACACTGCAACTAGCTTAAAATGCAGTGCTTTCAATCAACATGAATACTCATTTTGGTCATTATTTGTCCCTTATTTAAAATAATCGGGGGAAAGGGCTATCCTTTAGTGGGGTGCTGTGGTTCAATGGTTACGGTGTTCGACTCGTGTGCCGTGGTACATGGGTTCGAATCCTGACTGTGGGAACATGGTGCTTGTGCTCTTGAGCAAGGCACTTTACCATTATTGCTTCGTCCTTCGGATGGGACGTAAAGCCGTAGGTCCCGTGTGCTGTGTATATGCACGTTAAAGAACCCAGTAACACTTATCGCTAAGAGAAGGGGTTTGCCCCGGTGTTTCTGGCAGTGGCTGCAATATGCGCCGCAGCACCTTGTAAACCCTTACACATGTTATAAGGCGCTACATAATGGGTCTCATATTTCTCATAAACTTTATTTACCTTTCTTTAACATGTTTAATAATAGACATATCTCCAGCGCCTTGAGTACCTAATAGTTGGTAGATACGTGCGCTGTATAAGACTCTGATATTAAGATTGCTACCATGCATAACAACTGTATCGTTACACTGCAGCCTCAATCAGTCAGGAATATAGACTTTGAACCAACCTGTAAAATGTTGTCATTGGCATCATTGATGTTGCCTGTGGCTTGATCGATAGCCTCGCTGGCTGTGTCCTGAGCTTGGGCAGCCTCGTCTAGTGCAGCCACTACACTCTCAGCCGATGCCAAGACGTCATCCGCAACCTCCCTGGCCTTATCTGCTCTCTCCTTGAGGCGTCTCACCATGTCCAGATCCTCCGCTGTGTCATTCAGGATCTGGTCAATGTTCTCAAGGGTGGCTACTGTGTCCTCAATCTGCTTGGCAAGATCTGCAAAGTCCATGCGAAGGGATTCAATTGCTTAACATTGAATCCTTTTGTAAATCCAGGTTCATTTTCCTGCCTAAAATCAACGTTGGAGAATACTTTTGTAGATGTTGGACTACAAAGCATTTGTCACGCGAGATCATTCCAGCTGATATGAAAAAAATGCCACCTATTATGGAAAGTGTTCCTATTTCCGTCTTCAACATAGACACTTATGACAATAACAAAAGGTGGATCCTAAAATATTTCTTGAATAGCTGTGGAAAGCTAAACAATGACAACAAATTTTTTAAAAACGTGAAAATATTTAGCAAGGCATTTATTATACAGATCAGATTGAACAGCAAGTTCCATGACTCAATCCTTACTTTACTATTGTTATAACTGTGACCATCTAACCGTATACATCCTTTTTGGTGGGAGAGGGAGAATAAAATAGCTTCCTTTTTTGCCTGCATTTATGTCAGTAATTTGTTTTTGCCTGGAAATACGGCGGAAATAGCCAATATTGAATTGCCTGCATTTGTTAAGATATTTTGTTTTATTCATCATTTTATTGATAATTTCATCTGGACATATAACAAACAAATACTTGCTGACCCTGTATTTCCTCGGGAGTGGATGAGATCTGTGTATCCAGAGCCATCCTGGCCACTTGCTGGATCTCAGCCGGAGTCACTCGCTTCTTATCGATGAAATCATTGATGGCTTGCAGTAAGCCAGTCAGGTTGGTTTGTGCACCTTGGGCATCATCTCTAGCCATAGCCGCTGCATCGTAGGCCATCTTGGCTAGGTCTAAGGCTTCCATGGCCTCCTGCTGCACACCGCCCATCTACAATCAAATAACACGGACAAATTTGTCAAACAAATGACACTATCTTGCATTTATTTTTTTCCAAAATTCAATAATTTATAACAATGAAACGTTAAAATTCATAGCCTATGGCTGTTTTTGGAGCTTCACAAATAAAATTATGACATAAAATTTACAACATAAAAATCTAGAATTATCTTTCATAATTATGCTAATATTGTGATTCACTTTCGCCAATTTCCTTGGTTATTATAACATTTTATAAACACAAAACTTACGTAGCTTGATCTGAGATAAAACTTAAAATTCTGAAGGCCAGAATGACAAAACTGGCCAAGTGAGATCTCGACAGCAGTTAACAATCTTGCATAATTTCAAGTTATCCAAAAACTTTTTATAAGAGTTAAACACTGACTTTGTGTGCAGCATCTTGCGTCATTCCGATTGTCTCTAACCAGTGGACTCTGTCCACAAGCACTCCTTCAGGGTTTACAAGGAATTACATGAGATTCTTACAGGCACTGCCCTTGTAAGACATTACAGGTTTTGTGCACAACTGGAATAAATGTTGAAATTAACAATGCACCATGCACTGCACCAACTATTAAAAAACTCTCATGCACAGAGCCCACAGGTCAGTCATATGGGTCTCTCTCAAATAGGTCTCTCATACAAGTCTCTCTCACTTCTTACAGATTGCCACGTGCATCGGCATTTACGCGTCAAATTTTCGTGACGCACGTAGGCTGCGCCTTATTTTTAAGGAATTTTAAGTAACACACGAGCGTGTTTAGAACATTTTGCACACTGTGTGCACACACACCTGATGGCGTTGAACACGCAGCTGTAATTTTCCTAGAAAGAAGGCATCCTACGAGAGCTATCCATTGATTCAGCCATTCTACTCACCTCTGCTAGAGTGCCATCTGCCTGCTCTTTCTTCTTCTGGAATTTGTCGTTAGCCTGAGTCGCTCGGTCCAAGGCCACCTCAGACATTGAGATAGAGCCCTCACAGCCCAGACCTCCACAGAAGTCGCAACCAGCCCCACCGCATCCCCCACTGCAGGTGTCACCACGTCCACCACACACCTACAACAGAACAAGCACAAAACCATTACAAATATCCGTTTCTGATTCTGTAAGCAAAACATCAGAACATAAGCTGTACGCAAAAAGTCATTGCATGAAAGCTTATGATGCAATATTCCTGTTCAAAAAAATGAGAACGATGATGAGACAATTTTTAAACACAGCAACCACCATTACGCCATTCAATCACAACTTTAGTTGAGAATCAAGATTATTTTAGTTTTTAGAGGAGATAGTTAGGAAAACTGAAGATCATCTTTAAATTAAAATGCCTTCAAACCAAACTTGTTCCGCCAGTTGAGTACGGGCTGCATCCTGAATATTTTGGCGATTGCTAGTGTACAAATATTGAGTGGCTCAGCGTGGAATTTTTCCAGTTCACTCGGCTTCGCCTCGTGAAATGGAAAAGTCCAGATTTTACCTTGCGATAATATTCCTCCCATTTCACAATTTAAAGCTACTCAATATTTGTTTTATATAACTGACATATAGATCCTTGTCATTTGATATATTTGAACTTTTATTTCAATAAAAACTAGAGGAAAATGTATTTCTCTCTTCCAACCACCCCTTTACGAAAATGTTTGAACCCAACGCTGTAGTGCTGGCTCTTTGGAACAATACGCACTACGCGCAACGCTGAACGCGCACACCAGCATGCATTTGCACACAAATACCGAGTCATGGAACAAGAATGATCCTAACTGTTCAATAGTATTTCCCATTCCCCATGGGTGGATAGTACTTTTTGAGCCGCGGCGTGAATGGGAGCAAAAACGAATGTCACGTGATGCGAGTTCCACCAATCAAATGACAAGGATCTGTATGTCGGTTATATAACACAAGTTTGTGAGAAGTGACTTCAGCTGCTTCACATAGGCATATGTGTAATTACATGCTGTAGCCAAGTAATTTGAACACAGCCATATTCCTCAACCTGATTGACTAAATCCTCAATAACTGATCATTTAAATTCAGCTTACTTTCCCATTCAGTTCCCCTAGCCTCGTCATCTACCTCCAAATCCATTCCTGAATTTCAGTTTACTAACTTCTGAATTAATTCTCCCTAGCTGTCCATTCAAATCCCACTGCCCATTCAACTTCAAATTCTCCTTACCTGTTCATTCAGTTCTCCCAGCCTAGCCTCCAATCCAGTCAGTTGATTATCAACTCCTCGCAGCCTGTCTTGATATTCCTGTTGTTTCTGGGCCAGTTCTCTCTCCCTCTCTTGCATGATTCTCTCCACCTCATCCCTGATGACGCTGGATTCAGAGACCACTCCGTCAGCTGCGTTGACTTTTGCCTGGGCAGCTTGGGACTTATTGCGGCTTTCTAAGATACTCTTGAAGGCCCCTGCAGTTACAGTAACAAGTTTGAAATCATCATTTGGTTTGATCTAATATTTCCATTATTTTACTTTTGATTATTTGTCGGATCCCACAAGGTCATAACTATTTTTGTTCAGCTATGAACATATGATTCTGGGATTAATGTTTGAAGGTACTCAAGGTTCGGTGTTCATTTTCATTTGAATACAATACAAATTGTCAGAATAAATAGCACTCCACACTAATGACGTCAATTTTCCTCTGCGCTGTACTTGCGCATACCTCAGATGCTAGACAAACTTTCAAACAATCACGCGCGCACGTGCATGCACATCTGGCCGCATACATCCACATAGAATTGGTGTTGCAAGCGTGCGCGTAATCTTCACACAAGAAGTTTGTACAGCATGCGTGTCTGAGATCCGGGTACTTGCTTCTATTTTTATCCTTTCTGCTGAGTGCTATTGCGAAAAAGATATTAAAAACATCCAGATTCCTTCCATCCAGAGGTTGACACAGTGAGGTCACTAATAAGTGGAAGTTTGCACTGACACTACATGACACTCTTGTAAATTCTTTTCACATTCTGTCTCTGCAAGACTCCATTTATCTCAATTGTTTCGCCCACTCACCTTCCACGTTGGAGGATTCTATGATGACAATCTCATCCTTGAGATCTTCAGCATCTAGTTTCAGATCTAACACCTCAGCTTCCAAGGCATCTAGCTCACGGTTAGCTCGGAAGTTTTCGACTCCTGTTTGTCCGAGATCTTTGTTCACAGTGTCCAGCTTCCGTGCAAGGTCATCCAGATCGGCCCTGGACATATAAATATACTCAATAAATTGGGTTGTGTCCTTTAATTAGCACTACATACTCAGTGCTGGCTGTGAGTCCTCAAAAATTTACAAGCTTATTGGAGTGGGACTCGAACCCACAAACTCCCATCAGGAGGCCATCAAGTAGTCTGAGTATCACCTGTTGTCCACGAAGCCCAGTCTCCGGTCTGATATATATCTTAGCATGCAAATTTATGCGACCCTGCGCGCCAGCCAATCGGAGTCAACTTTACTAAACCGTGACGTCATTTCATTCTGAAATCTGGACTAAACTTTTGATTGGTCAATACAACAACGTCAAGACAACAACGACATAGATCTATAAAAACTAGACAAGCTTAGGGCGGCGTACACGTATCAAGTAACATAATAAAGAGTGCGTGACAGCAGCCTTTCAATTTACAGCATATTATTGTCGTGTCTAGGTGATGTCTATGATGCAACAACGGGTGAATGACCGAAGACCCGATATAGAAAGTGCCTGCTGATTGGTCAAAATATAGAGGTCAGGAGGTGATTGTCTTGCAGAATTAATCAGCGAATCTGATCAGATATCACAGACTAGTCAACAAGTAGCAATCTTGGACAATTCTTGCTCAACCTACCTGACTTGATCCAGGTCATTATGCAGCGCGTCCACGTCATCTTCAGACACGCTAGGGTCAGTCAGCAGTGACTCCACCTGCTGTAGTTTACCCTCCAGACGATTGAACTCATCATCATAGGCAGCTGTGGCTCCTGTTGATTTGATATTACGAGCTCGCTCCAGCAGTTCCTCAGTTTGCACTGTAAACATCATAATTATTTCAACTTCATGAACAACAAACACATGTAAAATGTCAAAGTTAGATTCTTTGCAACTCCGCAAAAATAAACTTACATCTACAGCAGCTTTTGTACCAAAAATACCTTAGTTTTTCAATATTCAACTACAATTCTGCCTAGACAGGCAACCAAGTTCAGGAATATTGTTCCCAAACTTTGCAACTATCATTTTCTGATTTCTATCTATACCTTTGATTCTGCAAATCCATGTACAATTACTTGCATCCAATTTTTTGACAATTCGTCAATAACCCTCAAAGGAGCTTTTTTCTTCATTCTTTTTCAGGAACATACCTGTTTGGCCTCAGGATCAGTAATCCTGAGAATTTGTTGAAGTGGAAAGAATTTAACAAAGACTAATGAATAAACTTCAAACAAACAAACAAACCAACACTAACTGATAAAAAGAAGTGGCTTTCTGGAGGCATACCATTACTTTGCAAAATATTTGACCTACATCAGGGCATAAACACTCTGGTAACCTGAAGTTATAGACAGCGGTACCCAATATTAACTGCTGTTGGATTATGGATACACTTTTGTAGTCATATCAAGTGAAATTAGTGCAACATTTAACCCTTTCATGCCCACATTGTTTATTGACAAAGCTCTCCCAAGGACCAAATTGTTTGCTCAGTCATGCGGAAATCACTAGAGCGTGAACAAAATGAGCACGAGTCAAAAACTCACTTTTTTCAACGCAGATTTTCATTGCCAAGGAGTGATTAAAATCATAAATGTTGTGTGTAAAGTTTGTTCCTTGAACCTTACTCTTTTATGTGATGTAAAAATGAAGTCCATACGTGCAAATATAAGAAAGTTATGCCTTTTTGTTCATCTGGTCCCAATTATCAAACTGCAAGCCATTTCACCACATGACCAAATGGCACTCCATACCTCAAATTGTGCGTGGATACTTCTGAAGCACTTTTCTCATTTTTTTGTATGGTAACACTATGAATAAACCACACCAATAGAAAGATCCGAAAACACTCTTTCAGCTGGTATATAGTTGATGTATGGGCGGCCAAACATATCAACATGCCGCCTTTCTGAAAAGTAGTAAATATATCTGTGTTGAGGGTGTTTTGTGTGTGGTTTCCTGGTCGACTAAAGTCGCCCATGGGAACCAGCAGGGGGCTACTTCTTGTCGACAAAAGTCGCCCATGGTAAGGAAAGGGTTAAGGGGGAAAAAACGGTTGGTCAAAAAAAAAAATCCATTTATCCTTAATGATTTCTTTCCAAGGATAGTTTGTGTTTTACCTCTGAGAGCATTGATAATTTCATCCCAGTCATCAAAGCATTCTCCACAGGGTTCACAGTTAGGCACCTCGCCTGTGGTACCATGAGCGCATCTATCACAGTACTTGCCAGTCACCCCTGGCCGACACACACAGGATCCATCACCGTTACACTGGAGGCTTTCTGACCCTTGAGCGTCACACTGACATCCTGTGTAATCAAAAGGTCAAACGTTTAAGGATCCATGCAATGAAGTGTTCTTAGGAAAATATTTTGAGCAAGTTTCTACTCTTCTTAAATGTGTGCAAAATCTTTGACATCCCTTTCTGGTTACTTTATTGCAAAGTGCACTTCTTTAGACATTTAAAATTCGCCATGCTTTTCTGGACAACTGTTGGCGCTGTTGCTGTGATGTCATTTCAGGAAGACATTGTTCAATTTATGCGTTTTCTGTTAAAACTGTGAACCCAAAAATTTGCTCATTGAAAACATCTGTGAGAAAAGTTTGCTCATTGGCTTACTGCCATGTATGGACACAACAACGAATCACCAAAGAAAAGAAAATCTGCAACAGCAAAGTATCCAAAATTCTGGCAACTTTTGGTGCTGAAATAGCTGTAACATTGAGGTTTCTGCCTGAAATGACATCACAATTTTTTTCACCAAAATACCCTTGAAAATGGCAAAATGAAAATTGAAACTAGGGTTAATGAGACACAAAGGTGCACTTTCTAGGATTGCATTAAAAAATATTACATGGGCCCTTTAAAGGTTGTTTGGCAATCAAGGGAATCCACTTTACAGGGCGAGTCCAAAAAACGAAACCCAAATGTTGGGACCATTGTTTTAGAGAAGTTCTGCATGTAGCACTTTCAAAATCTAGGATATGAAAGCCCAATTCATAAACTTTCTTTTAATACGAGTATCATTCAAATCGCTCATGTACTTTTCAAGTTAAGGAGTTTTAAACACAACCACCGTTTTAAAGTTCTGTCCACAGATCACAAAAAAGTGTGTGTTCTTTCAGCAAAACGAAAACAATTCACACACATCCTTATGTGATTTGTTTTCGTTTTGCTGAAAGAACACTGAACTTTTTGTGATCCGTGGACAGAACCTTAAAACGGCGGTTGTGTTTAAAACTCCGTAATTTGAAAAGTACATGAGTGATTTGACTGATTTTTGTACTAAAAGAAAGCTTGTGAAATGGGCTTTCGTATCCTAGATTTTGAAAGTGCTACATGCAGAACTTCCCTAACACAATGGTCCTGACATTTGGGTTTCATTTTTTTTTACTCACCCTGTATATGCATGCTCCTCAGTTCTAATACTCCACGTGTCAGGTTACAAATAAACTTACACCCATCCATTGGTAGGCATTTACAAAGTCTGTGTATAAGTACCTTCTCATAGGTAACAAGAAGAAGGAAAAAAGTCAATGCAGAGCACTACTCTGGTGACTGAAGAAATAAGAACACTATCTCCTCAGTATAGGCCACACGTCACCCTCTTAATTCACACACAGAGCCCATAAACAAAGTAATGCTCTTTGCTTTCAAAGGGCTTAGCTTTATTCTGTAGGGCTACTAAGCAACTACATCTTCTGATTGGTACTTCATTTAATAAACGTGCTGGGCAAGAATCAGCTGGGAACCAGCTAACAGATGTACAAATCAAACAGATTGCTTTTCAAAAGTCCAATATATCTGTGCTCACAAAGGTTGTGTGTTTAGATGTTCCGAAAATCAGCCCCAATTTCAAATGCCTTAAGTACAGCCCTTGAGAGAATATTCATCTGAGTTTGACTTACGTTCACATCCAACCAACGGATCACCAAAGAAGAGACTTTCACATTCACAGCAGGTACGGCCACCAAAGCCAGGTTGGCATGTGCACTGGCCGGTGAACTGAAGACAAAGAGACCAAAAAAAAAATGGAAGCGATTGTTTCTTATATTTTACAGGATTACAGATTTAATAATTTGGCCAACTGTGCTCTGGTTCATGCAAACAAGTGCTGTTTACTACCTTGTAAGCAGGGGTGAGATTGGGGGGAAATGAAAATCCATGAGATAATTGGCAGAGGGTCTATTTGCCTAAAGGTACCGCTTAAAATACCAGTTTTTGTGATTTGGGATTTACAAAAACCTTTTAACTTGATATTAGTTTTTTGGTCAAATCTCAGGAATTCTGGAAAATTGTAACAACTTTCACCACCGTGTAAGATCTGCAAAATGTGAAATGACTTCACAAAGAATTCACATGTATTTTACAACAGCATTAGCAAGGACTTCAGTGGTCTAAAAATGGATGTGTGATGTCACCTGTCAAGCAAGGACTACAGAATGGGGTTCTGAACCAAGCAAGGCATGGTGTCCATGAGCAAGATACTCTACCACAGTATGAACTGCCAGTATGTGCACAAATTTACCCTCAGCTATACAAAGTGCAAGACATTCCTATTACTGAAGGACACTGAAATACAATTTGTGTTGTGGGCTCAGGCTCATGTACATTCTTTTTACGGAAAAACGTTTCGGACTTTGGTTGAAACTACTGTCACGCATGTTTCACACACTATGCAGGCATAATCCAATACAGACATGTGATGGCTCCAGTGAGTCGGTCACAGGAATATCTACAGATTCAGCACAGAGTCTATTCAATGGTCATCCATGAATACAGTGTTGCCGACTTAGGCTGAATGCAGTTCACAACATACTCACTGGAAACCGAGAAACAATTTTTGGACCAAAGAAAACCAATCCTGTCATTTCAAGGTTTAAAAAAAGGCTTGCAACTGGGAATTTAGAAAAAAACGAGGAAAATTCCAAACCATACAAAACTTTGTACAGTATTTTTCAATTTGTAATGGCATTCATGAGAAGTAAAAAAAACGAGGAAACCAGCTGATCCGAGAAAAAGTTGCATGCCTGTAAAACCGGTAAAACGTTGTGGCGGCTTTTATTTGTTTCTTACCTCATTACACTGTGTAGAAAGGGAGCCATATTGACAGCAATCACAGGCCTCACACCCTGCACCACTAGCTAGCTTCCAATGGTCTGGGGCACACTGGTCACAGGTCTGTCCAACAACGTTAGGCAGGCATGGGCACTTGCCAGTCACACGGTCACACACGCCACAGTTGTTGTTCAGATCACAGATACTCAGATCAGTACCAAGGAAATTACAGTCACAAGCTAGGAAAATCAAAAACAGCTCCATTATTTGTGACAAAAAAATTTAAATTCAGTTTTGAGAAAAGGTCAAATTAATCTTTGGGAACATTTAACTCTTTCAGTGCCAAACTCGTACATGTACGAGGTATATTTGTAAGTACAAAAGCGCCAACCTCGTACATGTACGAGGTAATGTTCGTGCTTAAAATCGCCAAACCTCGTACATGTACGAGGTAGAGTAAACATGTTATCAAAAGGGGGCGCTCTCGCTCTTTCTAATGGTACCATTTTCATGCATGTACGACCTGTATTTATTTTTATATTTGAGTTCTTGTTGAGGGCGTCACACTGAGTTTCGACTTGTTGACAAAATGGCGGCGCCCATAAACCGAACTCGCGTGTTATCTCCAGAGAAAATCAGTGTATTTTTTCGCCGATTTGGAGAGGGAAAGGGATTACTTTTCTGATGCAGAATAATCCATGGATATTTCAGAACTGGATGGTGAGTCAGAAGACGAACATTGGGATACCGATACAATTGATAATGATGGTGCTAAAAGTGACAATCATGACAATATTTATGATAATGAACAGAGTTTGTATGAGGAGGGGTATCAGACGCGACACACGTATATTCTACAAAAGTGCAGAATTCCCCTGTGTTCAGGAGAGTGTTTCAGGGTTTATTACTAGGTGCATGACTAATATTGACTTTTGAAGGTAACAAGAATAAACCAGAGAGCAAGATACAATAAGTTTGGTGATTACAACTTATTTACTTTTTTTTTATAGAATTTTGAATAATAAAAAAAAAAGCTCGAAGTTGGGCACTTCAGGTTTAAACTTTTGAAATGTCGCGGGCACTGAAAGAGTTAATAATTTACAAGAATTGGAATGACGTTGTAAAATGATCATTGTATTAGGAGTTCTGTGTTCTTGGTTTTTCTAATAGACTGGCATTTTGTTTAAACCAATCAAAATTTTTAAATATTCCATTATTGAAAAACTTATGTTCTGTATTAATTGACAAGTCTTCCTGAAATTAAAAAATAAACTAAGTTGAACTGAAAAATAAAAAGCATTTTGTTATTAAGAATGTACTCTTGCAAGACTAGGAATAAACGATTGATCATGGTTTAATTAATGTTGACTTACGTCTGCAGGTTCGCAGTAAGGCATCGCCATAGTAATTTGGTGCGCATTCATCACAATTGAATCCAGCCGTATCATACAGACAACGCAAGCACTGGCCTGTAGTTGCATCACAGTTGCCCGGTGTGAGTGGGTTGGTGTTGCCATTGCAATTACACAAGTTACAACTACCCCCAGGTACTGACGGGTAACCATAGTAGTTGTTGTCACACTGGTCACAACGTATGCCTGATGGGAAACAAAAGTATGTTTACCTTTTGTGTGGAATGTAAGGTAAAGGTAAAGGGGGCAAACCTGTGTTCACAGGAACGGAGTGCTCTTCTCTCTTTCGAAGCGATTGGGCCAGACTCGAGTCAATGAAATGCTGCTGTGGGGGGATCGCCACACCTCCTCCACAGCGAGTCTGTTACCTTCCCAGCATTGAATAATGCCGGTACCCATTTAACACCTGGGTTGAGAGGAGTAATTGAGGTAAAGCGCCTTACTCAAGGGCACAACACGCATGGTCACAGCAGGGCTCAAACCCACAATCTCACGATCATGAATCCTATGCTCTACCATTAGACCACCGTTAGACCACCGTTAGACCACATGTAAATGTCCATGAATGTGGAAAAAGTGACAATTACTTGAAATTTTGATACATATACCTTTGATGTTATTTTGTATCTTTAATGTCTTTAAATTAATCCTTTGTACAAAACACTTACCCAACTCGATTATATTTAAGAGTCTTTGGTTCAACTATGAACAGTTTGCATTTGAAAACCTACATGTATAACAAAATGGCGTGTGACACAGGAAGTGAAAAAAATTTTGTATGTTTTTCTCTTCAAGTGAATTTAAACATAAATCTGTATGAAAAAATGCGTTAAAAGTTAAATTATTAAACCATCAGCATCTCCGCAAAAAAATATGAAATTTTGTCCACACAGTAATCGACCTGACATTTAGGGCAATACAGTGAGTAAACAGGCCAGATGGATTTGGGCAGTGCACTCATAAGCTTGGCAGTTTTAGGGTAGCACAGTGAGTATAAGGCTGGGTGTTTGTGGCAGTGTAGTGAGTATTAGGCCAGGTGGCTTTAAATACGCTGGGTGATTTAGGGATGTACAGTAAGGAACAGTCTACATGGTTTTAAACAGTTGAAAGACATAGTCCATCATTTGTAATTTGTGCATTTTGTTCGTTTGAAGCAACAAAAGTGTTCAAAATCTAATGAAGGATACTGAACAACTAACCTGATGAAGTTTCAGCTCAGCTTCAGCTGTATATTCCGAGAAAAACAGCATTCTAGGATCTCAATTTCAAATCAAAAGTTGCTAAATCATGTTTTGAATTGTTTTGAATTGCAGCTTTACACGATGTCGCGCACTGATCCGACGAATTATAGCAACCGCGCGCGCCTGTGCCTCGTGCCAATGCTTGCGCGCGCTGCGCCGAATAACAAAACGATCTTTCGTTGATTTCTTCAAAATGAGAGCTTGCCAGAAAGAATAATTTCACAGGGAGTTTAGTCCCCTTATTATCTTTCAACCAGTATGTTTTTCAACAATAATTACGCCAGTTACTTTTTGGGATAGCTGCAAATGATGGACTCCAGCTTTAATATGAAGGGTTTTTTTTTGCAGTACAGTGAGTTATAAACTTAGGAAGTACAGTAATGTAGACAAGTGCATTTTTGGTGATACAGTAATGAACCGGTTTGGGGGCAGTAAAGTAACTGAGAAGGTTCAGACCTACCTGTGTATCCTTCCTCACAGATACAGACCACAGTCTGAATGGTCTGATCAATGTAGCAGGTATCAGCAAACTGATGACCACTGCCTTCACCTCCAGGGCACATACAGGGCTGACAAGGCAGATTGGAGGTCAGGGTAGGATCACCGTAATAACCATCTTCACACCTGCACACAACATCACACAAACCGAAATATATCAAGAAGTCAAACTCATTTGAACAGTATTCAAGATATCACTTTTAAAGAGGTTGTGGAATGCTCGAAGACATTTCCGTCATTTTTCGGGTATATGTAGCCTAAGGTGTGATGAAATAAAAACGACTATTGTTTCTGTCATGAAATGAGTACGAAAGGTACTTTTGAGAGCTGTTTTTCAAGTCCTGTCATGCCTGTTTCGACCCGAACGTGCAATTTGTGTAAAAGTCGTCCTTGCGGGCAGCAAACAAAACACAGTAAATCGTGATGTAATAAACAGGACTCCCGAAGCAGAGTAGCATAAACGAGTCCTGTTTATTACGTCACGATTTACTGTGTTTTGTTTGCTACCCGCAACGACGACTTTTACACAAATTGCACGTTCGGGTCGAAACAGGACCTGAAAAATAGCTCTCAAAAGTACCCTTTGTACTCATTTCATGACAGAAACAATAGTCGTTTTTATTTCATCACACCTTAGGCTACATATACCCCAAAAATGACGGAAATGTCTTCGAGCATTCCACAACCTCTTTAACAAACTGCTTGTTACTGACACTGAATTTTGGCAATATGATTCACTAGCCCTGTGCAAAGCTTGTAAGATGTGTTTCTAGTTATCAAAAAACAGAATGGTTAACATGAGCGTTAGTCTCTGTTAGATGTGAAGAAGTTTTCTAGATATCTATGGCAGTTGATCTTTTTTTTGAAATGGAGGATTTTACCTTTCGCAGTAATGGCCGACAGTGGAATCCTGGCAATCTTCACATGATCCTGTACGACTGTTGCAGGTAGGGGCGTGGCCGTTACACTCACAGCGTAGGCAGTTGGGGAAATTCCAGAAGCCAGGAGCACACTGATCACAGGCTCGGCCGTAAGTGTTAGGTATGCAGGCACACTGGCCATTGAAGGGATCACAGAAGTTGTCGAGTGAGCCACGCCCATCACATTCACAGGCTATGGGAGAGGGTTGGAAAAGGACTGTTCTCAAATGGTTCATGGAGTCTTGTTACACCGTGCCAGAGATTTGGATGCTATAAAGCATTTTGGTTTCACATGCTACATTTAATAATTGTTGACTGCTGTGATGTGGCACATGGCATTTTGAACTAAGCCAAGGGTGCTACATGCGCCCAAAGGGGGTTAAGAACGACAAATCCAAAATCACAGCAGTCAACCATCATTTTGTTATACCGTGCCATGAACTACAAAAGTAGTAAATTACATCACCACATCATATGTATGCACACTACATACATGTGTGCGTGCAAGGTAGCTTAATATATGAAGTGTTGCAACACAATGTATATGAGGTAATATACATGTATATACAATGTGGTGTATATGAGGTAAACCGTCATTTTAATAGACTAGAAAAGTGACTGTTTTAAACCAATGAAATTACAGTATCCAAGACATGATATAACAATTGATGGTATGGCATCACAGAGGGTATCAAATTCAAGAAAACGTAGTTGATGACACACTGAAAACATCAGAAATAATTTTTTATTTTGTTTGCTTGATGCATTAAATAACTGTTCTAATGGAGAAATGTCTTTATGAACTTGATAAAAAATCTTCCTTGGTCGACAATGGTTTGTGATAAATTATATAATAAACAAAGCCATCTGCTCCTCGGTAATAATAATTAATTGATGTAGAGTGGCTTGCTCGAGGACACACACATTGTGATTCCTTGTGGAGTTCTCACCATGCACTACATACATGTACTCACCTGAGCATCCATTGGGTCCAAAGCCGTAGGTCCCTGGAGCGCATTGGTCACAGCGACGACCTATGACATTGGCCTTGCATTCACACTGACCACCAAACTCATCACAGATTGAGCTCTTAGAGCCAATGGGATCACAGTCACAAGCTGAAAAAGAAAGAGGGTTTGAAAGAACACTAAACTATTGTGAGATCTTTACTTGTAATCCTTACAGAATACAATGCCTGTCTAAAGCCCCTGTCACACAGTAGCGAACAGAGCTAACTTATGCCTAATGTACTGAACATTTTTTTCGAAATTTGGCAAAGTCCAGATATGCTCAAATTCTCGGTAAAAATCTTCTTTTTTTTTAGCAAACTCCTGACGTATAAGACGAATGCCCAACAAATGAGGAACGAATGCAAAGCGTATAACTAGCGTCCATAGTAACGAATGACAACACATGCGTAGCCTCCATCCAATGAATGCTGAACGTACGCAACGAATGGCCAACGTATGCCTAGCGTGCTGCGGCCGGTCACATGACGTGTCTCTGCTAACCCATAAATACGCTCTCCAAGTCCCCGTTGTCACATTCGTTAGCCATTCGTTGATGACAAACTTTACGTATACATTGGGCATTGGCTATATGACAAAGATCATTGGGTTGGACATATTATGTCCGAACAGCAGACAACGAAGCAACCTACACCCAACGTGCGAAACATTCACACAGCGAATGCTCAGCGTATTGATCACTACGTTGTCGCCCGCTCAAAATTTTGAACATGTTAAACAATTTTCCTACACCCCAGCGCACCGCTGCGAACCCCTACGAACCGCTAACGAATACAACTTATGCCAAACGTGTCTTGAACGAATGACAACTTACACAAACGTACACCCAAATTTCCAAAAAACGTCAGGCACACGTTAGCTCTATTCGCAACAGTGTGACAGGGCCTTATATAAGGTCTTGTGTCCCGTGTATATGATTTCATTTTAAATTGTGTAGCTTTCTTCTAATCAGTCCTGGATACAGACCTTTTGCTACATCACAACTGTACTTTTTTGCCAACAGTTGCATAAATTGGTCATACGAAATGGTGCTCAATGTTTGTAAACAAAGAGAGGTCTATACATTAACTCATGTGGTTACTGTAATCATACAATACGCTATCCCAATAGGTAAACATAATATCCCCGTGTGGTACAGTGCTTTGAACAAAGGCACTAACATCAATCCCACTCCATAATAAGAGCTGTAGAGTAGCTTACCCATGGCACCGTCAAACATCAACGCTGACATACTGAACATGAGTTCTCTGCAGATATCAGAGAGAGGAGCATGAATGGCTGATAGGTGGGCCTCACCACAGCGATAATACTCCCACTGCTCACGCCGGTTCTCCTTGATGTTATCACTGCCGCTGAACATGTCAAAGTTGGTGTTTCGCGGGATGAGTACCACCTACAGGGAACCAGTCAACATGAAATTCGGTTGGTAATTGAAGTAGTTTAAGCATTCCCTTTGGTCAACCATGTGGGCCTCATGATAAAAGATATTTAAAGCTTCTGAATGTTTACTAAAAATATTTCAAATGTTTGGGTTATTTCACATTTCTGGCTTACAAAAAATCCATGTCTTTACACGTACAGAGAAATGTTGATGAACCCTGTTTGTTTACACCAGACGTTGGCAGCTATTTTTTTTGTAAAGCATATAAAGCTATATTTGGTAAAGCAGCCATCAAAGCAATCAAATGAGCCAAAGTTGTCATCATCAGATTAACGCAACCTTTAATGCATATCAAGCACACAGGGTACTTTCATTGGTCGCCATGAAAACACTCAAAAGAGACACCAAGTGATTGGCCCAATGAGGCGACCAATCCAGGTGACCAATTAAAGCGCCCTGTGATTGGTCTGTCTGATGCTAGCCATGAGCTCGTCTGGTACCCTGTTTCCACTGTCCTTCTGAATCCAATATTTTTAGGGGACCCAGGAAACAGTCTAGCCAGGAGCCATGCACAAGTCAATTGTTCCTGAATTCAATATGGTAGCCTCAAAATGGCGAGTGCAACAAGGATATTTCCGAATTGAAGGTGAAATTTCTCTTTTCTTCCCAAAGGAATGTGAACATAACCACCATCATTTGTATTTTCAGGGGCGCATAAGGCAGTTTGAAGACTGTTTTTTGGGTGAAATCTGAAGATTTTGATTGGGGGTACGAGTGAAAATGGTAAAAAAAAAATTATTGGTAAATGCGATAGGGCTATAAATCTCGGACTCTACTATCGCCCGACCATGTCCAATTGCTAAAAAAGGCAATTCGTAGAGTCCTAGTTACTCAGACTAAGCCTAGTGCAGATCCATAACTATTCAGAACAGCAGAGTTTATTACAACAAAGTTTTACATGTACAATACCATTTTGTATCAGCATGATGGCTGTCTGCACATTTTGTCAATCAATCCTTACCGAATCTAGCAGAATCTGGGCATTGGGGTTGGATACTCCGCCTCCAAAGCTGTTGAAATCCACATCAATCAGGTACATCTTGCCTTTCTCAAGACAGAAGGTGGAGGCCAGAAGGCGATATCTGACATTAAAAGGGAAAGAAAAATAATAATACAAAGATAATCAGGCAATTCTATACAGACAGAGCAAATCCATTTTTGGTCCGACATACATGGTAAAGGTTGGAAAATATGCGCAGTCTGAACGTAAATTCATGTAATAGATCCACAATTAATTTGAATTGTAACGTGATCACATTTGGAGCATCATCGCAATTGCCTAACCTCCAGACAGATTCTTGCTCCCATTCTTTCAAAATCTTTCACATAATGGGGGAATGAAGAACATGCTTATAATAAATCTCACGTTACCCTCAAATCTAGCTAAAACCTCTTTTACTGAGCTATGCTGAGCTATCTCTCTCCCAACCTGACGTTATATATCACCGGTTCCTTACCTATTGCCTGATGGTAAACTGGTGGCCAGCAAGTCATCCTGGGGGATAGTGTTACCACAAATACTCTGTGTAGGAATCTCGCCTGGACGCGTCAAACTGATACGAACATCTTCCCAAGTCCCTGCAACCTGAAGACGGATCATTGGAAAATCTTCATGATCAGTTTAAACAAAAGCGACAATATCCATGCCACCCGCTTAAAAATATCAACATGTATATTATCTTATTCTTTATTTTTCTTTTACCATAACAAATTAACCAAAGCCCTCATGAATACGACCTCCAATCAATGTAATATTATCTGTTGATTCGTGTGGATCTGCATAATAAGTCCTTTAGTTCAAGCTGTTGGATTCCGATGATTATGCAGGCTTCACACTTGTTGGATTCCGTAAGATGCTTGCAAGAAAGCAGGGGTTAGGGAAGCTTAGGGGTTAGGGTGAAGGGATCTTGGGCTTTACCAGTGAATAGTGAGTACAATGACTCTTAAAGGGCCTTTCACATTATATGCGCTCTCATAGGAGACCTTACGGCAACCAAAAACATTCAATAAATTTGACAATTGCAGCAAGGACGCAAGAAAATGACAATTTTCTGTATAAAGTGGCCAGAAAATAGCTCAAGCTACGCTCATACTGTGCTCATCCAGTGCTTACGATGCGCTCAACTCGTTCTCTATGCGCCCCTGTCAAGCCCAATTACTCGATCTAGTCGCTGCCGCTGCGCTGCCACTGCGCTCACACTACGCTCGCTGTTGATACGTCCTAGTAGCTCGCGTCGCGCTCTCTATCCGACCAAAATATGCTCACGTGACGTCACTTGTGCTGTATAAATACCACGACAAAACGGTCAATCCGCAGTCCAGTTTCAAATTTATTCGAGTAGTTTATCGCAGTCGAATTACTTTCTCATGGAGACAGCATCGACTGCCGTGAGGTGTTGCGATTGTTTTGAGCATGTTCAAAAATTTCTGCGCTCATTGGAGACCATATGGACCCTCTGGCGCCCATCTGGCGACCTATGTAGTTGTCGCTGCGATCTAGTAGCTGTTGTTGCACCCCAGCCATTTTTCAAGGACACAGTGAGAGCGCATATATGATTGCAGACAGTCTGACAGGGCCTTCAACGACCAATCAAACCTCTGACCATTAACAAATGATCCTAAAAAATACTGATGTTGATTTACCAATGGTTCATAGCGTAGTACAATCTCATAATCACCAGACACAGGGATGTTGTCAACCACAATTTGGATTTGGCCGCCTTCACTGATGCGCAGGAATCCAGAACCAGTCCAACTGATGTAGGAGTTCTCATCACGGATTCGAGTTTCAAGTTGCACAGACTAAATACATGGATAAATAAAAAGCTCTATCAAGCAGATTTTTAGGCAGATAAAAGAACTTTTGGAATCAGATATGGAGGCAAATTTTTTTTTGTGTGTAAACTGTTAGCAATAATGACTTTGAACAAACACTACGGAACTGCCAATTGTCCTTCAATGTCTTATTTTTTGTCTACTCCAAGTTGTCTTGTTGTATGGTCTCAAAGCTAGATTTTTTTTTATCCAACTTTAAAAGGAGAAACATAGATTTAGTGCACCAAATTCCTCAACAAGTTGTGCTTTGGAAATATTGGAGAATTATTTCAGCTGAAGGGCACACACAATTCTTCTCAGCAAGTCTTTCTGATACGCAAGCCTAAGTTGGGGACAAACTTCATGGTTCTACTTCCTGTACGCCAAGAACCTTTGCCGACTTTGACATAAACGTTTGTACTATAAATGTTGAGCATATCTTGTAAGTTAGCATCAAAATTTTGCATCCTTAAATTCTGCGCTTACAAGTCAGCATTCAATTTATATGCTGGCATTTTGTGTTACAAACACAAAATTATACAATAAGCAGAGTCATGAAATTCAGGGCATGAAGGCGGGAACAATGACTTACATCAATCGTCAGGACTCTGGACAGCTCCGCTTCATACATGAAGTAATCCATGAAGGTATAGAAGTAGCCAGACTCCACCTGGTTGCACTGCCTGCCGGTGATATGAGGTCGGCAATAGCACTGCCCAGTCTCACGGTTACAGCTACTGTTATAGGAACCGCCAGGATCACAGTAACAGTACTTGCAACCATAGACCTCCTCACTCAGTCCATAGTAACCATCCTGTAACAACACAACATACAGAGGGTTAGAATAGGTCTCATTACACAACAGGGAAATAAGTGAATGCTCTCCATTCTCGGAGGGTGACTGAGCAAATAGAAACCTCCAATTACAGAGGTTGCACCAAAGATCTACAAAGTAACTGGTCAATTCAGCTGGGTTTTTTTACTAAGAGAATAAATGTGTGCTTGGGAGGTGTTAAACACTATGTTTAAGACCGGTTGGAGTCTGGAATGCTGATATTATCGGTATTCCGGACTCCAACCAGTCTTAAACATAGTGTTTAATATCGACCAAGCACATATTTATTCCCATTGATAAATACCCTTTTGATCAAAATATCAAAACTTTTTGGGCCCAAAAGTCAAAACAAGTCAAAAATTAAAAATTCCCAATGATTTTGTTCTACAATTTTACTTTCTGTTTTTCGAAGCGCACCTCTATATAATGGAGAGTCCAGATCGCGAGTAAGACACAAACAACTCCTTTTATGGGGATTGGCGCTAACTGTGGCAAGTGCGTTGTGAATTTAAGGACTTTGAAATACTGACTCACTGGTAGTATTGCGCATGCTTACGGGATTCCAAAGCACTGAATTTCATAGGAGTCCAAATTTCACGTGACACTGCAAAAGTGTTTAAGACCAGCCAGCCATGTCTTTATCATCTGTTTAAGACCGGCCACATAACGGGCTCTAGATAAACTGTCTTAAGTTTTTATGAATATATTTTATATTTTGCTAACCAAGACACTGTGCAGAGCGATTTTTCTTTCTAAACAACTTTACAGACTTATATCCAGAAAACAATCCAAATTCTGAATGCAGTACTTTTTCTCAGTGATTGCTCTAACACTGTTGCACTCATCTGTAAATTTCCGGTACTTTCTCAATACTTGAAAAGATACAATTATATCACCGACAGTTCATAAAAATGAAAACATATACATTGTATGTATTTAGAAAACATGACCATTTCTGTCTAATACTAAAGTTTCAAGGAGAGTTACCCCTTCTCCTCAGGCCCATAACAGAGTTTGTGCCAAAAGTAGTGCCACATGTAAGCAAAGGTTGTTTATGCTGCAGCGAATGATATCAACTGATTTGCTTTTTAATTCTTCCTGCCTTTTCAGACAGAAATCTCGTACAGGAAGGTACGTCAATTCCGAATTCAAACAGTACCAGACAATTAAAAAAGGTTTGTTATGCTTTGTGGTCATGTCTCATTCTATAAAAAAAAAAAAAAAACCTAAAAGGATGTGTGCAATACCACCAATGGTAAGGGCAATTTCACATTAACACTTTCGTTTACGAAGATTCCTGCATAAAACAGTGTATGGCTGATATCCCGGATCAATTACACAACGAAAAATATCAGCAAAATGTCAGCAAAAATATCAATGAAATAGCAAGCAGGCACAAGGTTAAGTTAACCACAATAAAACACTAAATTTAGCACTGATTTCTACTCACATAACACCGATCACAGTTTCTTCCAGTGACGTATCGCTTACAGATGCAGTTGCCTGTCTGTTTGTCACAGCCTCTATTACCTTCTGTGCCCAGGGTGTTGCAAGTACACGCTATAAACAAACAAATTATATGGGAAAATGTATTCAGTCGACCAGAAGAAAAGATTTATGATTGTAAAAGCTGCCATTGGATGAGTTCCAGGCCTTTAAACATGAACAGCACAATGCAACTCATTAAAGTTTGTTCAGACCTCTTATTTCATTCATTTGGCAGGCTTTACAAAGTGAGTGACTTCCAAATCCAGATAGCTGTCTTCATGGAAATTGTTAAACATTGTACATAAATTGTTCAACAGATGTGGGTTTTTCAATGGACAGTTCAAACCACAGAGGAAGTGGGTTTAAAAGTGTGCTATTCATACAACAGAAATGTTGCTCATACATGTACATGCACATGTACATCTAAGCATACATGTACATGTAGGTTTAGGAGATCTTTTCGAAAATCCCTTTTAATATTTTTCCATCTCAAGCTAAGCATACACGAAATCTCTCCCTAGCCAAATAAATAAATTCCACAGTCCTGCCCTTGGCTTGACAATGCTACGGGTCAGCTAGGATGGGTGCCAATGACATCACACCATGGCTACTGCTTGTTATGATACCTCAGCTGCTGACCATATGAGTAAGGTCAAAGGTCATACAAGGCCACATGCCATTTTCACTCCCAAACTTTTAATTAACCCTAACCCACTTAACTCCTCCAAAATTCTCCTGGCGGTTTTGGAGGATTCTAGAGGATTGAGGATGAATGGTGATTGAATCAAATGAGGATTCTGGAGGATTGAGGATGAATGGTGATTGAAGCACATGAGGATTTTGGAGGATTGAGGATGAATGGTGATTGAAGCACAAGAGGATTTTGGAGGATTGAGGATGAATGCATTTTGAGGCAGGACTGTCTGATGATTTTGAAGGATTTGGCGTTGGTTATCCTTCATTTAAACACGAGTGCAAAGTTTTGGGATGAGGAGGATTTTGGAGGATTGAGGATGAATGCATTTTATCGCAGGACTGTCTGACAATTTTGAAAAATTTAGGTGGAGTTGCAAAATTTTGGAAAATTTTGGAGGATTTTGGAGGATAAATTGAGGATGGTTGTAAGCAACAAGGGCCTAGGGGGTTAGGGTTAACCTTTTACTTAATTATTAGATTCATTGTTTTGTAATTTTTTTGTAAATGAATTTTTTTTCAATAAACCAAATCCAGAGAAGAGTTTACAAGGTCTTTTCGAATTAAAAAAATATTAAACAAAAGAATGGGAAAGTCATGTAATGTCACGATCCACTGTCACACCACTCCAAATTGAATTCACACTTGAACCGGGTGTACATTTAGAATAAACAATATTAATAAATACTGAAAAATGAATACAAACAAGATATCAGTACAAACAAAAGGGTCCACAAACTAATGCCGACGAAATGAATTACAAAGTTAAACATAATTCCATAGAGTCCAAATTCAAATTAAAAACATATCTCGGAACGTGTCAACATTAACATGGACTTATTAGTCTCACTGATTATATGACATTTCATAGTCATTATCAACATGCAGAGTAGAAATTAAAGGGAAAATACAACATTTGCATACATCGAAAAATAAAACTACCAAGTTTTTACGAAATACACAACAGGATGTTGGTAAATGACAGTCTAAAGCATCCTGTAAAATTATGGCACCTGGTGTGAAGTCAGTTTCAAGAAAATGGTTATTTTGTATATATTTCCAACGGTGGTCGGCCGACCACCGTTGGAAAAACCTAACTATTTTTCAACTACTGTTCCAAATGTACCATTATTTTTTCAGTCCAAATTTTGTTTGCTATTGGTTGCATGTTCTGAATGGGTGCAGGCCAGCTAGACTGGTTCCCTTATCGTACAATTTTCCGGCATCTATAAATTAATCCATTTAATCTTCAGTGGGGTCAGGGAACCAGACTACTCGAACATTTTTGTTTTTCTTAGTTTTTCCAGCATTTTCCAACACAAAACTTCAAACATGTCAGTGTAACAATAATTTGATATATTATACTAACCCCTCAAATAGTTCATTTCTGAAAATTAAAGCAAATGCCAATGATGTACATTCCCTTTAACTATAAAGTGACACTTAGCAGTTATTTGTATTAAACACCCATAAGGGCAAAAAAAAAAGTCTCCGGTTTCTGGTATGGAGCTTGCCCAAAAAGTGGTGCGGCGACGCGGCTTTTTTTTTTTTTTAACTGATTTTTTTGCTTCAAATGTCGGCTGATGACTGCAAATGGTGCCCGACTAAACTTAGTGCAAATATATGGGAGTCCAGAGAGGTCACATAAAGCTTATTCTCGACCATAACCCAATCTAAAAACACGTTAAAATTGTGCAGCAGCAGGATTCCAGTCAAACCAGTGAGTTTGGCGGTTTTGAGACATCATCTTTCATTGAAAAAAAAGCTTTTTCATTTTGCCGACGCGCATGGCTACGGCGACGCGCGCGCATACCAGAAACCGGAGACTTTTTTTTTTTGGCCTAAGCATTTTCTAAGGATTTTATAATGACTAAATGTTTACCTTGACATCCATCGGGGTTCTCAGCTCTGAGGCTCCAGTATCCATTTTGGCAGGTATCACAGCGTACTCCCGTGGTATAGCGCTTACAGATACAGCGACCAGCTATCAGGTTGTTAGCAGGGTCTGTGTGACTCTCACACTCACCACCATTCTCTGAACCAGCTGGGTCACAGTCACATGCTAAGGGATGGGAATATCACCAACAAAGTTCATCTTGAAAGTAAGCGCAGGACTTAAGGCCGAGTTTTAAGGAACATGACAATTTTCTCATTACATGTACATGCACTTCCGCTTAGTCAGTCAGGCATGGGTCAACTGGGGCTTAAATTGCTACAGCCTTCCTGCCTTAAAATATGCCATCTTATATCAATAGTTTCAGCCATTTTTACACCAGCGCTATTTTAGAGATTTTATCCTCAATTTAGCCTATTTTCTGGGAAGCATCTACATTGTATGCTTTATCATAGCAGCCCTTCCACTGCTGTCGATACAAATACAACATAATCATTCTGTATGGCAAATCCTTGTTACAGTAAAACATGGTCAAGTTGTAACATAGGGGCCAGAAGGTTTTCCTCAAGGCACAAATAAGTGGTAAAACAAATAAATGTTTGAAATTGAAGTGCGTGTACATACATTAAGCATTTAGGAAATAAAGTGCTTTTCAGTATGTAAGTCACATAGGAGTAAATACATCCTATCAGCACGGCCTGATGTTCTTCTTCGTATGACGACATTGGATCATATACATGTAGTGACTACAAGGTATCATTAGTCACATTCCAAACTTCTCAGATTACATATTTTCTTACTGAACCAGCACACGGTCAGCCGCTGAATTACATGTATGAGAAGGCATATCAACAAAATGAGAACTGGTCCACAAATATTTGCAAGCTGACAAATCTTTTTTTTCCTGTATTTTGAGTTTAATACATTTCTGAATGCACAAGTTCGTTTTTAACAATAAAATATGGCGTTCTTGTATAATGTACATTTTATTACAAGTACACTTTAAAGACCACAGTGATAAGTCTCAACACATCTTTTCACCTGATTGTATTAAAAGTGAACTGAAAGGTCCAATCACTGTTATTGTACGACATCATATATGTATGCAATTTAATGAGACAGAGCAATGAAGCATGGGACAAATACATCAACACCAATTCTCTCTGATCAACTATTTCTTGCATTAAACGCAGTGTTTGCATTTCACACAGGTACATTTGACGTCTGGTCTACTCCTGTTGAACATGTTGAAAGCCAAAGCCTACTGGCTTTAGCACGATGGCAAATATCACGGATCACAGTGAGTAGTTTCCCATTTGAAATTGATTCAGGATACTTACGGACACAGATGTTAGGATCCCGTATGTCCCTGTCAGGGTTCATGTAGAAGAATGGCTTGCACTGCTCACAGTTCCTCCCCATGGTGTTGTGCTGGCAATCATCACAGACCCCACCGCTGGCACCGTTGGTGATCTCAAAGACGGCAGCGTCAAAATGGCAACGATTGGTGTGGCTGTTACAATTGCAGCCTAGCACCAGGAGAAATGGGATGGACAATGGTTAAAATGGTTGGTTTGCTCCGAATACATAATATACATGTACAAAGATCTAGTCGGAGTGTGGATAGTAATACATGTAGGTGGATTAAGACATCACAAGCACAAGGCCCAATTATGGTCAGACATACATGTAAACCAGGACATTTTCAAACCGTATACCAAAACAGCTTTGTTCAATCAAAGTTTTTTACTGCAAGTGTAATAGAGAACTCAAACTTTCGATCAAGCAGGGTGGTGTCTAAATTCATCCTGTGTGTACAATACAAACTCAATTTTTGGAACAAGGTATCAAACTGCAAAAATACCAAATACCTGAAGTTAGAGGTCAGAGGTTTTAATTGGAAACCCAGAATGGGATTGAACCCAAATCAAGATAGACAATGAATTTGTCTCAAGAATGGCCCTTAGTACTTAGCCAAAAGCAATCTGATTGAGGAAAATCTGATGTTCCATTGGAAGAATACTACAAAAATTTGTTCAGGTTTTCAAAATCACTAATGAGAAAAATATTTTTGTGCAGCTGAAATTTTTGTACAAATTGTGGTACAATACTGTCTTTCTTTCAATTTGAAAATTTTGCACAGCGGTTCAAACTTTTGCATGAAATTGACTTTTGTCATGCATGACGAATCAGACTGATTTTTCTCAGAATGTTTTAAGCAACAAATGAGCTTGGGTTTCAGGGTTAGATACAAATAATGAATAAAACTAGCCTGGGTGCAAACAGAACGACAAGGCACAGACAAACTTACGTTTACACTCATTGGGTTGTGCATGCGTAGCTGGCCGCCAGGGCTGGTCATTGTAGAATTCTTGGCATCTCTCACAGTTGTTCCCCTCTGTGTTGTGACCGCAGAGACATTTCCCTTGGACCTGAAGGAAAAGGATCAGATAGCTATGTAAGAGCTGTGGGATAATGCTTCACCTGAATGGACACAGTATCAATGATCCAAGTTATCACCAAGTACATGTTTTTTTATTCAGGCTAAAGAAATACTCCACATGGTCCTCCAAAAGCGAACTCTGGCTTTGTTTTTGGGGCCTCTACATATTTGCCCCCAAAATGTCTCTTGATTAAAAAAATATGCAGGATAATATGAAATAAGGTATTATAAATAACATGTTAAGAATATATTCTTGAATTTAAAAAGAGAGATTTCCACCCCAAAAATTTGAAATACATGTAACATAAGCTTATTCAAATTTCAAATCTTGTTTGATTTTGATTTGAAGGTCCTGTAAATCAGGGAAACATTCTAATGCAACACAGGACAAGCTCAGGACGTAAGTCCATCCCACCAGTTTCTCAATTTTCTTTTTTCATCAATTTGTGATGCCATCTTCACAACCATCTAGGGTGATCATGAAACTGTGCATACAGCATGTGTTTCAGAGCATTATTTTACTGCCCACATACTGTGTAACCAGAATGACCTAGCCATGGCCAAGTTTGTATACATTGAACTGTCAGTGTGTTTTGACAACAGAGGGATGCCAGATTTGGGGTAAGAATATTCTACAAGATATTTAGAATGACTGGCATATTTGCCAGTACACAGGCATTTGGATAAAATCAATCAAGTGGCGTAACTTACACATATCAAATGGTGATTAACAGTTGCCCCAAATCTTGAATTTTTTAGCAACACAGCAAAATATCAGAGCACTGCTACATATACATGTATGCATACTGTACAATTTCTGCTTAAAGCTGCAGTCCATCATTTGCAGCTATCCAAAAAGTAACTGACGTAATTATTGTTGAAAAACATACTTGGTTGAAAGACAGTCAGGGAACTTGGCTCCCTGTGAAATTAATTTGTTATAGCACGCTGTCATTTTGAAGAAATCAACGAAAGAAGGCTTTAGACGCATCGATGGAAATTTTCGTTAGTAGTTCGTTTTTTTTTTATTCCACGATGCGTGCACAAGCGTTGACACGACAAACACGCAAATATGTGCTACCGGTAGCTGTCAACACATGCTACATGGTAAGAGATGGTAACAACACACAGGATGATTGCTTACATGTACATGTATACCATCAAGTTTTAATTGTGTACCTACATGTACATTGTACTTTGATTGACAGAAACCAGATCATTTCATACATGTAATTACTACATGTATCAGGGCATGCTGGAGTAATTTACAGAATAGGCTGGTAAACCATTTTTGGGATCCCAGCAGAGAGAATACATGTAGTTCTGAAGCAGAAGAGAAGTCTGGTGAATGTTGATGTTTAATAGGAGACTGGAAAGCCACAGCATCTATAATGACTGGGATTTACAATTTATGTACCAGTATTACGCATATTTTTCAAAGGAAAAACTGAAACAGACTTCAGTTCAACTGCATCTCGCTGTTTGAAAGACATGAATGGCACTCTACCAAATGAGCTATCTAGACGCCATAAATCTATGTTTGAAGCTTGTCCTACAATGTATTTTCATTCTTCTTTTTGACTTAAATGTACCGGTATGTTCAATTGTGTAAGCCATAAAGAGAGCTCATACCTGTACATGAAATATGTCAAACAAAACTACCCTTTCAACTTATCAAACCTTCAAGGCAACATTATTTTCAGGAGAGGAAGTGGGTGAGAATCCTGACAGGAAATTTCTTTTAAATATGTGGAATTAGAAGTTCAAGAATGCACCAATCCTGTTTCCATTATTACCACTACATTTTTGTAAAAGTCAACGTCAACCCACCAAGACATTTGTAAATATTTTTATAACATGTGTAAATCGTACAGAAAAACAACCTGATATCAGTATCAGGCCCATATACACTCAACACAATATCAGATACACGTGTAAAATTGGTGGTCTTTCAGCCAAAAGTTAAATCAGCCATGCAACTGGAAAGCCACAAAAACAGAGGAAACTCCAAGACTACAGACACTTTGTGCAGACTTTTTCAATTTTTAATTTCAGACAAGAATTTAAAATAAAGAGCAGGAAATCAGCTGATCAAAGGATTGGATGCATGCCCCTATAGGCCTAACTGCGGTAATATGTGAAATACAAGTTATAACAATTGTATTAACCTTAAAGGGTTTTTGATTCATTTTTTGCATAGATTCAGCAATCAGGCCTCTCAATTCCCAGTTGAGTTCTTAGCATGTAGAAACTTAATACATTGCTCTATGAGTGAATTCCAGCATTCTTCAGATCAATGATATCTATTTACATCAGCCTGTCAATAGAGTGTAAATCTCAAGCGTTGCAGGAGAAAAAAAACCCCTAAAATCAGGTCACTGTAGGAGACGTGCAATAAATCAGATATATTGCAGTTTACCTACAGGCACCAGTGATATGGGAATATTTGACATACTGAAGGCTTGTGTCCCCTCAGTAACACTACAGATAGGCCTCACATGTGAATGTAGAGTTGTATATAAGTCATACAGTTAATCTTTGTCAATCTTTCTACTCTATTCAACTTTTTGGCGATTGTTAAGCACTATATTTTTTAAAGTAGCACTATTGCAACAAAATTGCAACAATATTACATGTACAACACTATTGCAACTAAACCTGCTACTCAAGATTGCAGGTCAGGAGCCACCTAAGTTACTCATCTCCATCATTCTTAATTTGACTGCTCTAAATGGGAGCTTTGGTTGACTGAGGTTGCCGAATGCTAAAACCAAGAACTCAACAGATGTATTTTGATCAGTGGTCACATGGCATGTATTGTTTCTGACAAGCACAGCTGAAACTACAAAACAAACAAATTGGAGGTCTGCAAACAACCTACAGGAAAATTGGTCCTGCACAAGCCACACCATCCAGGATGAACCCCAAAATTTGAAAAACCTCTGTTGCAGTAGTGAGAATCTAACACTGCTTTTGGTTTGGACCTGGGTTTGAGAGGTTCTACCCAGGCACAAAATCCAAAATCTAGAGTTACATTTGTAACTCGTAAACAAACCTGTGCAAACGGGGAAAGTATATTTTGCTTATTTGTGTGTGAAAGGGTAGGCCTACAGTTCTGCTCATGGTAGACCATAATTCAGCCTTCGGGCTGCCATGTGTGTTTAAAATGAAATAAATAAACCATAAATAATAATAATTGATTTCAACATGCGTAACTCTGAGAATCGAGCATCAGAGTGAAGAGTTCTGCGGATTGCAGGGGAGTATCCTGATTAATCTAATTGTCACTATTACCCCTAATCCCTCATGATCCTGAACACTAAATCCACAAAGGTTTTGGAGGATTTTTAATGATTTAGGATTTGAATAATTGACAAAGACAGAGCCCAGGCTCACAGGCCCCTTGAAGTTGAAGTATGAAGAATTCCCCATCGGTTATTGCATGGTGAAGGATTTTGGAGTGTACAGGAAGGCTCCTGGCTAAAGTACACCTTATTACCACGACAACTCACCATTCCTTCCTTGAAGGTTACTCCCTCTGCTGGGACGCAGCTGGTAGCGTGCCCGTAGCAGTGACAGCTTCCCCTGACCACCATGTCATAGATAGCATAGTAGTACTTCTCTCGGATCTCTTCCCGGTTGTCCAGCTCGATGTCACCTAGGGTGTGGAGCTCGGTGAAGTTGATCCGCAGATTAGTGATCTTGATCATGTCCTGTACATCATCACTGTATGGATTGTCAATGCGGATGTTGGGTGGCAGGACACGGAAGATAACCTGGGGGAAAAAGAAATTAGAATTAGAATTATAATCACAACAGAATGCATGATCACGGTTTTATCAAAAGGACCTTTCACACTGTCCAAAATCTCCATGTTAAATCCAGGTCCAGCATGTAGAGTGCGAGAACCCCTTTTTACACTACATGTACATACGTGTATGTACAATGTAGCAAGAATCAAACGCAGCTTCTACACAGATCCTGGCACTCTACATTAAATCCAACCCTGGTCGGTACCGGGGTTGAGAGGCTCTACCAGGGTAGAAAATCCAAAATCTACAGCCATCCCAGGGTGAATGTGAACAGTATGCCTTTGTCTACCTGTATCTGATAAGATTGGGTTTTGCTTTACATGTATGTGGACCAATTGATTTCTACATGGGTAGAGGACACAGTAGTGTGAAAACGCCTTATGCGAGGAGGAAGTCCCAACTATTTTCTACATACCTCTCCTTCAGTGGATGGTTCCACAGCTGAGTACCGGTTCTCACAAATGACATCATTAATGTTATATAACGGAGCTGTAGAGATACCAGGAAAAGACTCCTCACAGTCATAGGCAAAGTACCGATAAACGCTCCAAGTCCGACCAAAGTCAGCGGACCTCTCAATGACAAGAGCCCTGGGCCTGAAGGTCTTGAAGGTCATAATCAGATGGGTGAAGTGGAAGATGGCCTCCAGGTCAAAGCGAAGTGAAACTCCCTGCACGCCATTCTCGGACTGCCACCACATCTTCTTACGATCCTCGCCCTGGAAGGTGGTGACAATGTTCTCAATCTGGTGGCTGAGTTCATTCACGCCTTTCTCATAGGGGGTCCGTGAGTCGCAGTAAAAGCACTTTTTAACATCCTGCAGATGGCTGACGATGCAGTAGCGTTCCACCCTTCTGGAGCCACATGTGGAGCTGGTGGAGAGTCTGTCTTCGCGGCCAATGAGCAGGTTACCAGTGTAGCAACTGCCTTCTTCACATGACGATGCTGGTACCTGCTGCCCAACTACAGCTGACACTGTAAGCAACAAACACAACCATAATATGTATTATAAAACAATCAGCAAGCAACACTCAACTGACAACTACAAATATACTGAACAAGACCCATGCTATGGGTAAGACCCCTGCTTGTATATCATGAATGTGTTTGTCATTCAGAATGCTACTTCAGTATGGGCCAAGTTGCCAACTGATGTTTTTACATACTTTTGTACATTCAAGCCTCAGCTTGGTTTCCCAGCTTACAGTATAGAAACTGTTGCAACATCACAGAATATTCCTACAGGGTAAAGCACATGCAGCACAGAAGAACAAGTAATCAAAATATTGTATTGTACATGTACATTGTAAGCACTGAGTTGTGTAAATCGAGGACACACATGTGCAACGTCATTCGTATATCGAGGTCAGAAACCAAATTGAGGACTCCTCAGTTGGAAAACGTGTACAAAACCAATGAGAGCTGTTGTGAAAATGTACAAACAAGGAAAAAGGAAGAGGAACAAAAGAAAATCCTTGATTTACACCATAAACAAATGTGGGTGTATGGGTTTATGTGTCACTCTTAAAGGTTTTACGTGCAGTACATGTAATACTGAACATGTATACATGTACCTTCATAATTTTTTTAAAATGTTTTCTTAAATGCTAAAACAAGTTGTTATCATTGATATAATGGACAATTGAAACATTAAAAATACACACAAATTTACACATTATACAAATATAAATTCATAACCATGCCTTGCAATTATTCAATTATCTTGTTTTTGTTGTTAAGCATAAAATTATATACAACCTATTCAGGATTTTTGGTTGACCCTTCTAAATACAGGTAGGTCAAACCAAACTTAACAATATGAAGCATGATTCATAAACAACAAATCGCAAGCAACCCCCCAACAAAAGTGGCCCCAAAAAGTTAACTCTGTTGTGTTGTTTGTGTGTTTAAATACTCGCCTGAGGTGCGACTTAACACAGCAGAACCTTACACAGTATCTGTGAATATATCTCTCAGCATTTAGACTTCCCAGGGTGTACAGTTTACAGTTACTGCTCCAGTTTTTTTGTTATTCATCATTATAAAGGTTGTTCATGGGGTGCTGTGTGTGGATAAAACTCCCCTCAATAGAATAACTCCCTGGATGTGCTGTGTTCAGCTCAGTGGTCGATGTTTATACATCAGAGATTCTATTGTCCTGCATTGATTCTGGTGTTTGCAATGGTTAAACATCCCTTTGTGGGATAATAATAAAAACCGAGTTGTAAAAACTCCTGGAAAGAATGTAGGAAGTTACTTCACTGCAGGGGCCAGTGTATGGGATACATGTACATGTACATGTACATGTAGGTATGGGATAGGTTTGGGATGAATGGGGCAGCAGACAGTTGGACGATTTCAAACACTATCAAGGAATGTCGGCCTATAGATTTTTAGGCTGGAAAGGCAACATGGAATGTTGACTAGGATAAATTACATACATTGTACATATCACAAGGAAAATGCTGGCAATAGTAATGGGAGGTATTGTAGTGTACAAAACAAGAACTGTACATAATGGGAAGTCAAAAATGTTACAAAATACTCCAACACAAGCTGAGGGCACCTGCTTGGGATTCTTTGTTCAGCCGTATACATCATGTACAATTTGCATGCAAAGGGAACATGAGGGGGCCATCAGTGAAAACTACTGTACATGTTATCCTTGTTCTACGGGCTCCGTGCACCAATAAAAGAGGGCGCGTTTTTACCACTTTTGAAAGCTCCATGGACGGACAACGTGAGGGTCCAGTACTGTAAGCACCAAGTAGACAAGACTTCCTGAATGTGCCAAAGCTATTAGCCACAGCGTCTTTGCATGAGCAACAGGCGTCGCCGGCGCATATACACTCTAATTTAACTTGCGATGGTCTCCCAGACTAATCCATGCCCCCAATAATTTTGGATCATTCAAAATACGCGGTGGATGGACCAGGAACCAGTCTAGGTCTCCCCCAACTCTCCTTTTCTGGTTTTTGAAGGAGTACCGTACATGTACTTGTGCACGGAGCCCATTGGGTGCAGCTCATTATGGAAAACTGGTTTCAGAAAATACACTGGTTGGTAATAATATTTATAGTGACAACACTTGCACGGTGCCCTGAGGTTAGGTAATGGTGTGAAACCATGTGATGGTGTGACGGTAAATATGTTTCTCGCATTTACCACAAATCATAACAAAAAGTATACAACTTTTTTTTTTTTCAATACAACCAAATGAAAGCTGATCATCAAATGAAACTATGCTTAACCTACATGTAAGATGCAAAACCTTTGAGCAATCTTTTATCAATTAAAATCTTGAATTTTCACTGCAATCAACTTGTACCGACCTTATAAAGTACATGTAAATTCAGAACAGCTCCCACGATTTGATTTCATGCATGAGCTGCATGGCTTTCATCTCAAAATAGCTCAGGGTTAGGGGACAGGCATCTGACCAGAAACTGATACATGTATGACAGACAGAGGGCCTGTCTGTGGCAAAGGTATGCACATGTACTGTACGTTGTAGTTGTGTAGTCCAATGATTTGATATCCTACAGCAAACATGATGGATTCGTAATGTGATCCTGAAGACAAGATTCATGTTCCAGATATGATCATTAATGTTTCAGATATGAATGACCTTACACAAATGCTCACCAAACCTAACCCTCTCAGATTCCTACAAGAGTCATTTAGAGCTGGGAATAGAGGTTCTGGATGATTCTGCAGGATTCAGGAAGGTACAGCTCAGCAAATACAAAAGACCTGATACCCTTTGAAAGTTTCTTTACAAAGATCACGCCATCAGTTTCCTACACAGTGCCAGATACAGGGAGGTTCCTGGCCAAAATGCAAGAGTTAGGGTTACTAAATCAGTGCAGGCTAAACACATGGGGGCCATGCAATGGTATTTATATCCACACACCAACCTACATGTACATGTAGCATCAAAACTTGACCACGTATTAACTTGTGTTACCTGGCCCAATGTCCCAGGTCTTTGAAGTTCAGTTCATAATTCTTAAAAGAAGAACTTTCTTCATGGAATTTTCTATGCTTTAAGTACAGTCGACTCTCGTTAAAGGTACATGTATAGTCCATCATTTGTAATTTGTGCAATTTTGTTCGTTTGAAGCCACAAAAGTGTGTAATTTGTGCATTTTTGTTCTTTGAAGCTACAAAAGTGTTAAAAATCTAAAGAAGGGTACTGAACAACTAACCTGATGAAGTTGCAGCTCAGCTTTAGCTCTATATTTTGAGATAAACAACATTCTATGATCTCCATTTCAAATCAAAACTTGCTGAATCATGTTTTGAATTGGGCCTGAATTCAGCGTCCGAGACACGTTCTCACTGAGCCGAATGCAGCTACGCGATGTCGCGCACTGATCCGGCGAATTATAGCAGCCGCGCGCGTGTGCGTCGTGTCAACGCTTGTGCGCGCTTCGCCGAATAAAAAAACGAACTACTAACGTAAATTTCCAACGGTGCGTCTCAAGACGCACCGTTGGAAAGGCCTTCTTTCGTTGATTTCTTCAAAACGACAGCTTGCTACTAGAGAGAATAATTTCACAGAGAGTTAAGTCCCCTTACTATCTTTCAAACGAGTATGTTTGTCAACAATAATTACGTCAGTTATTTTTTGGATAGTTGCAAATGATGGACTATAGCTTTAATAAAAACTCGTTCGGACCTAGCCAAATTGTTTGTTAATATCAGAATTTTTTTTGTAACAGGAACGTCAGTCCCATTCATTGTGCACATAAACGCACAGTCGGGACCAAGTCTTTATGTTTGCTATAACCAGAATTTGTATTAACAGTGTTTGTACTAACGATCGAGAGTCGACTGTATTTGTGACTATTCCTTTTGACATTTTCCACTTTGTGTGTATTTTTTCTAATACCTCAGACATTATAAAAACAAGCATCGAATATTTCAATAAATATCAAATTTAACTATCAGAAAGGAAAGAGGAGAAACAAAAATAAGCAGTTCACAGATATGACTTCCTCAGTGGTTTCCGTTAATAGATACCATGGCCTTCTGACCAGACACTTCCACATTGGTGAAGGCCATTTAATTACACATTGTGTCAGTGCTAAATTGACCACATGACCAATTGGATAAGAACAGGAGCCCTTTCTTTGAGTATGGTAAAACAATCTCCTGTCATTGACTCTGCACCTCTGTTGTACCTATACATGTACAAATGTATTTAGTCGGTAGTCTTTTGGAAGTCCTCTAAAAAAAAGTTTTTGACATGGTGTTTTTCTTTACTAACATTGATGGGCTCTATTCGTGAAATAAAAAGATACATGTAGTAACCTGACCTGAGGGAAATTAAAATTTACAGATACACTGTGCATTTGCTGGCTCAAAAGTGAACTTACCAGTAGATGTTCACACAGTGGGAATCAGTGAACCGTACACGGTACACTGAAGAAGGTACATACGTGTACATGTACATGTAGGGTTTAGCCAAACAAGGGCTAATGGGAACCCACATTTCATCCCAGAAAAGGTTGGAAAACTTGTTATCTTGTCTGCATGTGACAGGGCACCTCAAAGGTGTATGAAGCTCACACGCTTGTAACCATCATTGCATTTCGCCAGCCGATAGTCCACTTTTTTTGGGTACCTTTGACTGATTGACTTACTGACTGACTGTTATTTATAATTCATAAATACCCAAGACCATTTATGCATTCCTATTGGTCGAGAGACCGTCACAGGGCCGGTCTTAAACAGATGATGAAGACATGGCTAGCTGGTATTGAACACTTTTCCAGTGTCACATGAAATTTGGACTCCCATGAAATCCGGTGCCTTTTACGTTTCATTGGTTGAACGTCCAAATTCCCCACGTACATGTATGCATGCGCAATACTACTGTACTTCAGTGAATCATTATTTCATAGTCCGATATTCACACTACACCAGCCCAGCTGCGTTTTGCGCGACATCGCGCAGTACACGCGACCATG